TAAAGGTAAAGTACGGACGTCTGGAGAGGCCATGAGGTAGTTATAATCTTCTGGATTGTTATCTTGAGATAACAAGTTAATTATCTTGTTAACAAAAGTTGTTATCTTAAGATAACGAGTTATCTTCTCATCTCGAGAGAAAGTTGAAATAAGTTAATTATCTTGTTATCTCAAGATAATAAAGTTGTTGTTTCGAGAAAATAAGTTTTACTATCTTGTGATCTCAAGATAAAGTTGTTATAAGTAACTCATTATCTCAAAATAACAATCCAGAAAATTATAGCAAAAGCTCATGGCCTCTCTGGACGTCTGTAGTAAAGAGTGGACACAGTAAATACGGAAAAAAATGATATTACATTCAGATGTTGAGGCGCATATTTCAGTAAAATGTTTTCTTTTTTTCCTGATGCTGAAACATGAATATATATAACTGCCATTTTGATTAGAAATTATGACTGGATAAATGAAATGTGGTCTGACTTTTGCACTTTACTGTATGAGCAGTCTAAGAACTTCTGAAACTGAATGGAGGAAATCCTTTCTAAAAGGTGTATCTGTACGTAAAACTGGGAAGTGAGTAAAAAAACACACCCTAAAGAAAAACATCCACGGCAGTCATAATAGTGGGACAGTCAGGTTGTTGGTAACTTTATACAGTTTTCTTTTAAACTGACCACCAACTCACCATCAGAGGAATAATACCTTGGCTGAGGAGATCCATGAATATGCCATTACACTAGACAAACATATTCCACAAGGAACAACCTTGACCGTGTTGGTATTTAACGACAGACAAATTTTGGTGTTTTCATTCCTGACGTGTTCATCAATATGAAACCAGAGTTGATCTTTTGATGCGCTGGGTGAGTGATGGACGTGCTGAAGGCTGGAGTGTTGGAGGAGTGACCTGAGGTACACCACATGTGAACGCAATAACATGGAAATTGCTGGCACATGAATGGTTCTACTCATCCTGGTATTTATTGCCACAAGATGGCCAAGTTTAGAGTCTATTCTCTGCTTATTGCCTTAGTAAAAAGATACTGAGGTGTGGGATCAAGTTCCTGTCTATCTACGGTCGTCTCTGACTGACCCGTCTCACTTTGAGGGAGGTAGCAAAAACTGACCAAAGTCATCTGGAGTTCATTTTCTGTCTCTACAGAAGTATTTACACAATTTGTCTAAGCAAGAATTACATAAGCATTACACACTGAAGTCTTTAATAATCTCTCATAGACTACAGTTTAATGTTCTTTGGCGTGTTACGGAGTGTTCTTCGACAGATTTCACCGTCTTTTATAGTTTCAATGTTTTCAATCATGAGTGTTCTCTCACTACAATACCCAGTAAGCATTATGCAAATACATCATGCAATCCCTGTGATGTCAACAAATCCTGACCAGAGAACTTTTAGAGAGGAGAATTCCCACTCTGTAATGTCTTCCAGGTTTCTCAGACGCTAGAGGGCGCTCCAGAGCGAGTCCAAAATGAAAGGGTTAAGATGGATCATTTGAGTAAAATCACAGTTTATAAATGCTTAAACATTTTTAATTAAAAAGAATACATTCATTTCCTGAACAGAACAGCATAAAACATTTTAACATCGCTGTTATATTTTTGAGCACTTTTGAACTCGAGTTATAGAAGTTTCAAATGGCGCCTCATGTACGTTCATTACGTCAGTGAACATGAACAGCCAATGAGCTGCTCCGCTCGCCAACCAATCAGCACTCAGTAGCAGTAATGCTAGCGTCCCGCTGCCCAAAACCCGTTTGCTATAGAAAATAAAGTAAACATACAGGAAAGTTTTCTTTGCTTTTTCAGTGAAATACATCCTTCTACTTTCTAAAATCAAAGTTCTGGGCGAGTGATTAGAAACTAATTTAACTTTTTGTTTTTAGTCTCACACCCACTCATTGAGGACTCGCTCATGGGCACCCTCTGCTGTTTCGCAGTCATGTTTTTGAAATAACAATTGAAATAGGAAGTGGCCAGGCACCTCATAAACCAGCTCTGTTCTGACTGCTGGCCACTGATCTATAGGCTAAAAAATACAACCAAGCTAGTCTTAGTGTAACTCTTACCTTTCAACAAAATCATAAAGAAAACAGTGATTCTATCTTTATTCAGCCCAAAATGTAAGCCAGGCAAAGGTTTTTATATTTTTAGCCTTTCAGCCATCTGAAGATATCTTAGGTATCGAGATAGCCTGGTAGCTCCATTGGTAACTGAAGCATTCAGCTTGTCCTCTTCATATGACAATTATTTCTGTTGACAATTGTTCTGTTTTCTTCTTTGTAATGATGATTGGAATAACTAGTTTTATGGCTGCAATAAGATATTTATTCCTATCAGTAAAATTAGCTATCTGCCTTCCTTCTGCTTTCACCAGCTAATAATAATAATAATAATAATAAAAGTTCCCCCAAAAATCCACACCAGCAGTTGTAGCTTTTAAATAGTCATCAAAGAGGGTTTCCAGGTTTTCCACTGTTTCAATTCTTTTTTAAAGCTGTCCTCAACCACACTTACAAAAGATGATGAACACTCAAAGAACCCTCTGCATGATCAAATGGTTCTTTGCATCATTAAAGGGTTATTCAGATTCATGGAAAATGTGCATGAATGTGCTACAGATGCTTCTATATGGAACCTTTTTGAAAATGGTTCTATACAGCACCCAAAAAGGAAGAACTTTTTTTTTTCCTTTTTCTCAAGTGTGCATTTCGACTCACCTCTCAGATGTGTGTCACACCTCTGTTATACAAGTGGTCACTCAGTCCTGAAGGGCAGGAGTGGATTATTCAAACGGAACACACTCACCCTCAGCAGGCTGGACTCAGTGAGCTAATCAGATAGCCATGCAAACCTTGCAATGCAAAATGTTTAAGAAGTTTGAACATAACGTGAGAAATTGCACTGTCTGGCTATAAACTGTGGTGTAATGCCTTTTCTTTTTGTTCCTGTTAGCTGTGTAGCTTTTAGCATGCTAACGAGCCAGCTAACTTGTAACTTGAAGCCCTGCAAATCCAGTGTTACGGTTTTGAAATATTAGGCATTTTAAGTAGTTTATCATTGTTGCTTATAAACAGCTTTGACTGCCACTGTTTCGGGTTTGAAAAGGGAAACACATCAGACACGCAATGATTTCTGGGCAAAGTTGCTGCACGTGTTCACTCGATCCCTCACCCCTCTAAAGAGCTCAATTAAAACATCCTTCACTTGAGCTAATAAAGTGATGGAACAGCCCTTAAGATGGCGCTGGGGTTCCCCCAAAGGGGAAACATCGAGGCCAAGTGAACGAGGGCTTGTTAAAACCAGGGGTATATGTCACACTCTAGAAACTACCGTAGCACAGCTGCAGGATGCAAGTAGGCATGTTTTCAACAGATATAGCAATGATCACATTTTCATTTTGGCCTGAGTCTCCATTTAAACATGAAGCCTGTGGTACAAAACATTCTAAACATGACAAAACATTAAGGCAGTTATATGAGTGAGATTTTATTGCAAAAGAAAACAGATCAGATGCTCTCAGAGATACATACTCAATCCTTACTTATTACAGAACGGAATACAGACTTTTGGTTCAGCCTTCAGTGGTAAAGAATGGATTTGCGACAGCTAAGCAAACTGTTTCCAGGATCATCGCATTTTCAGAACTACTGCGTCCTAAAGGAGCTATATGTAAGAGTGTAACTGCACAATGCTGCAGCATCTTCATCTGTCGGTGGAACAGATATCAACCTTCATCTCCATCATAGGACCACAGAATTGATTTATCCATGTTCTGCTCACGAATTCATTCTTTCATTGCAACTTTACAGAAGTTTTACAGAACGTTGCAATAGCACATAGTCCAGTTTAAACAAAACGACTCAATTTAGATTGGTACTGATTCCAAATTATATCGATTTTGTACGTGTGAAAGCTTACGCTGTCTTTTTTGTGTCGTATAACCAAGCAAACATTAACATGGAAGTAAATTTATCGTTCTCATTATAACAGCCTAGTTCTGGTTAGCTAGAACGACATAAGTATCTGACAAAGTATGTCACAATTTCTCTTTAGGTAAAATAAATGTGTTTCATCGTTCTATCAAACCTCAGTATAGTTGCTGCAAAAGGACGCATTTGTGGGCAGAGCATGGATGGGCCAATTGCAAACAAGATCATCAATTTTACCACCCAGAAAATGTCAGGTGGCACCACCACCATTAATAAAGCAATTATTGTTGTTATTTACCACTACTGAAAATGTGCATTAACTAGTCTTTGTACTTGGGCACCCATATAAACGTTTGTCCTTGAAGTCAAGGTTATACAAATAAATAAACATTATTATAATAACAGATCTTTATTGTTTTCCTGGGGCCACACTGCCTAACTTGGTAAACTGAACCAGCCAGTGACACCAAAATGACCATATTTTAAAAACATTTGTTACCCTTCCCACTTACTCTCAAAGGCGTGTCAGAATAAAAGTCCTTTGTTTTGATTTGCAGAAAAAAGTTTCAATGAGTTGAATACTTTTTCAAGTCACCTTATTTTGCAACATGGTATGATTTTACAGGTTTCAAACCTAAATTACCCTTTCTAATAGTTTATCTGCATATATGGTTGAGTGGCCACACCACCTGACATTTCTAGACTTTGGAAGGCATAAATGTCTAAATAAAATCTTCTTTTGATGCACTGAATATGTACTTGCATAAAGGAGGTATTGTAGGAGACCAAAGTATTATATATGATATGTATTTATTAAATTATTTTATAGGGAAAAATGGACCTTGATTCTTGCTTTAATGGTATCTTTGTCTTAATCTGCTTAACCATCATGTTAAAATTACCATAACACAATAAATCTGGTAGTGCCTTTGTCACAAATGCCACCGTCTCCCAAGAGAGTTATCTGACTATTGTTTGCTGCACAGGACAAGAAGAAATGATGACTCTTCAAGCCTAATTTTCACTACTATAAAGAACAAAAGTAGACTGGAAAAAAGGTCAATAACATGCTTATTTTTACTTATAGCTCCTTTAAATACAACTGTAGTTTACAGCTGAAATCGTTCACTTCATTGACTTCTGAATTAGGTCCACAGCTGAGAATATCTGTCTGAGGAAGAACTAACACTTCCATTGCAATAATACCAGACGGATTCATACAGTCAGACACAGTGACCAAGAACAATGTTGATTAAACTGATCAGCACATAAACTACTGATAAAACCATCACTGTCACCTATATTAACTCCCCCATCCGACAGATTTCAAGTGAATGCTACCAACAGTGACGGTCATGTTTAACATGTAGAACAGTTGTGTGATCTAGTCAGTGTTAAGGCATGGTTAAGTGTTAATTAAAGATAGTTGTACGAACACAAATAGGTTCAATAAAAACAAGCCATTCAGATGCAGCCCAGCATTTTTACGGTAACGTATTTTGTAGCTTCTGTAAAGCAGGACTGCATGAAACCAAGCGTGGATAACTGTAATTGTACATGCTGAAAATTCTATATAACCATGGTCCACGTATAACAGGTAATGAAGCATATGTAGAGCAAGGCAGCAAAAAAACAAGAAAGACTAATAAGAGTTATTGCACCTCATTGCACACCTGATCTACAGACATAAACTATCTGGCTCACTTTTGGTTTGCCAGTACATAATAGTCAGAGTTGATAAAAAAAAGACAACAAAAACGCATTCCTTATGATTTAGCTCGCTTTTTTGGTGGGAATAGCTCTCCGCTTTGACAGAGGGACCATGCTAAGCAACGTTTACGAGGCCGCATATTATAAAAACAGCAAACAGGACAGTTGCCAAGATAAAAGCAATTAACATTGGAGGAAGTAATGATAAAAATAAGGATGCAGAGAATACATTACACAGCAAAGGGCCTAAGCACAGGGCAGAACATAATAACTTCAGGAGGTACAGACCGTATTGGACATTTTTTATGGCTGTTTGCCTCTGGAGTGAGTTCACCAAACCAAAAGATGTCCATCCCCAAAACTATTCCCAACTATATCCGTTCTATTGGCCCCTAGCGCTCCCGAAGAGAGAGGTAAGTCAACTCGGTCCTCTTGCTGGGGGCATAAGTGACTTATTGGCTTAGTGGAAGATGTTTAGAATGTAACCTTAGCCAGGACAATGATAGCAATTCACATAATACATTAGCATGATAAATTAGATGAGTGTCATACACAAGAAGAACTTGAAGTGTGTGAGAACAAATGCCGAGTGACAGAGTGTGTGCAAACGTCTGAACTCCCTTTGCCTGAGCAGCCCGGATGGAGCGGACCTTCCCCTCTCAGAAGGAGCGCTCGTTCAGAAGCTAGAAATCGCCACTTTTCACCTCGTGTCTCAGTCCGTCTTTGCCGGGGGATCCGTCAGAGTTAGAGCAGGGAGCAGTAGCCTCCGCAGGCGCCGTGGGCTTGCGGCTGCTGCTCGTTGAGCTGCACGCCGTGGCTCTGCATGCTGCTCTCCCAAAGCCCAGGCGTCTGCAGGATCTTCTCCACCAGCTCCTCAAAGGCACACTGAACTCCGTCTCGTGTCTTAGCGCTGGCTTCTGCAAAAGAATTACAGAAACGGAGCTAGTCAGAAACACAACACAGTTTCTCTCTTATCCCTGGTGGAGTCCATCAGCCAAGATATGTTTGGTGTCGGAAGTCTGACAAAAAAGTTATCACTAAAAACAAAATTAGCAGCCAACTTGAAGCCTGAATTATGTCTGTGCATTTGTCCCTTTTTGTCCAATGAAGCAAAGTGAGACAGAACATGTCTTGGCAGATCGACTACATTATATATATATATATATATATATATATATATATATATATATATATATATATATATACACACATATACACACACACACACACACACACACACATATATATATATTTATAGTGTGTATTTATATATAATATAGTGTTAATTTGTTGCCAACCTTTTGCTTTAAACACAATGTCTTTAGCTATTCAGTTGCTTATGATTTTTCAAATATCAGAAGACACTCATGGTCTTCTCTCAAAGATGAAATGAGTCATCGGTACAAAGGATATGAGCCTCTGGTCATGCAATATTGATGACATCACTCTAAAGCATGTGTCAGGCTCCAGTCCACGTGGGCCAAGGCACTGCAGACTTCAGCACACTGCGTCATTAAACACACCTGATTCAGCTCATCAGCTAATTAGCAATGGCTTTATGAACTGAATTCAGCTCATTAGATGAAGGTAAATGCTAAACTCCACAGCACTTTGGCCCAATAGGTCCCCAGTTTGACATGTCTGCTCTAAAGACTAAAGCACATGGTCATGCTGGTGATGACACAAATGAACAGCAAACAATCATATTAATTTTTTGAGCAACATGTTTCAGTCTTAAGAGTCTGCATATAATCTAAATATTAAGCATTACTTATATTCAATGTATGATTGTCCTGTATAACTTACCTATTTGCTTAATTAATACAAAGCAGTAGTTACAAAGGGAAGTAATTTTTTCCTGAAAAACACTTGTAAGACAATTCTAAACACAATCTTGCCTTGATTAAGCTGTTCAATCTAAGGAACATTCGGTTTTCAACACGGGAAAACAAAGCTTTTAAACAAGCTCATTATTCAGTTGCTCATTTTAAGAGCTATTAAATGCACAGTGTCTTGGAGTTTAACCCCTTAAACTCTGAGGGACCGTATATGTGGGTCCACACTTCCTTCCTCACAGTCATAACTATCTGTGTGTTACAGATTTGACCATGGTTAAGGGAATTCTTCTTGGAAGTGAAATTCCACTGATTTTTTCACATTTCTGGATAATTAAAATGTTTAGACATGAGTGGTTTGATGTGAAACGCTCAAGTGAAACTTACTGAGTCAGAATTGTTCACGTGGTGGTGATGGGAACCAGATGTCTGAAGAGTTTAAATGCTTCTAAAAGCTACATCACTAGGAATGCAATTTTTGGCACATTCTTTTGACCGATAACTACCCGACATTAGTCAGCAATTAAGCAGTAAGCCTAAAGTAAGACACCCAACCCATCAAAATATTAATGATAAAAATGGCAGCGCCGGTTCTTTGATCTGGAAATTCTAAACACAAACCATGACTAGATTCAGCCGTATAACCTAAGACGCATTCTGTGCTGATCTACAGGCACTGGTGGCCAACAAGGGCATAAAATCTTTAAGATGACAAAGAATTTAATTTGGAAGATATGTTCAATCATTCACTCATGAAAATGTCAATAATAAAAAAAGTCAAAAGCTTACCAATGAACAACATAGAGTGCTTGCGTGCAAATTTTAGCCCTTCATTCCTGTCGACCTCACGGTTGTCCTGAAACAAAAACATTTGGACTTTAATTCATTGGAATAAATTACTAGAAGCACTAAATGTCACTGAATGTCTTAAAGGAGTGTTTCGGTGAAAAAAACACATTTACACAATGTTCCACTTACCCCAGATATCAGCCAAGACATGTTTGATTTCCAAAATTTGCTTCTTTAGTTTAAGAGGCTAACGTCACAACGTAACAAACAATATAAGCCAACAGTCACTCAAATCATTTCTGTCAATACAAAACTTCTAAACCTGCTCAAAAGCGCATTTGTCAATGTGCTTTGGGATACAGTGTGACTTACTGTAAACTACAAAAACAAACAAAACTTCACCACGTAGCTGAACACATCAACCGGCCATTTTAGATAACAGGTGTTGTGCAGAATTCAGACTCTTTCTGACTCTTTACTTTAGCGCTGGAGCAAAAGGAAAATGGGGACACCAAACATGCCCTGGCTGATCAACTACATCTGGGGTGAGCGGAAAATTGTGTATATTTGATTTTTCGACAAACCATTGCTTTAAACAGCATATTCAGCTTAAAAATCTTATCTCAGTGTTATTTTAAATAATAAATCACTCGTGACAGTGCATATCCAACATGTGCTCTTTAAGTATAGCATATACACGCTGGCCTGATACAACTGTTTATACTGCATATAAACAAACCTTGTCTATTTTGTTTCCAACCAGCATTTTCACGAGGTCGTTGCGTGTGCAGTACGTCTCCAACTCATTGAGCCAGTTCTCGAGCTTTGTGAAGGAGTCCCGCTTCGTCACATCATACACTGACACAGACAAGATCATCCATTGCATTGATTAACAACACAATCGCATGCTAAAACAGAGTTTAATCATTATTAGGGGTGTAAAAAATCTGAATCATCATTATGATGATCTCCATGGACAATCCACACTGCATCCAAACCTCAGACTCACTCTGATCTTACTGTAACTTCTAGCAAATCTATACCTGCATATATGGATTGAGATTGTGCACATCTATCCATATCTTGTATAATCTGGAATATATATTAATATTCTCTCCCCTGTGCACCCTGCATCTCATTTATCTACCTCACACTCACAAATTGCATATATGGAAATGTGTACAACTGTACATATCGTAGTTTTTTTGTGTATATTGTGTATAAATTAGAGTCTAATGTGTGTGTGTGTGTGTGTATATATATATATATATATATATATATATAGATATAGATATAGATATATACATATATATATACACACACATACACACACACACACTTTTTTCTTCTTTACATATTTTTGGTACATTTTAGTACTACAAGGCGCTACACACCTAAGATTTTCACTCACCTTCACACCTGTGTAAATGTGATGCAACAATAAACGTGATTTGATTTGATCTAATATGCACTGATGCACCGTGATGCAGCCATCACATTGGTGAGGTATTTTTGACCAAAATAAAATTTATTTTATTTTAAAATGTAAAAACAGTGTTTAATAGGTATAGTGTTTTTTCTGCTACTGTGCAAAGAGCTCCTGCAGTCATGTTTGTATATCTGGTGCATTTTTATAAAATAATTGCAGTAAATTAATTAAACAGAATCAAACTGAATTTTGGTGAAATCTCAAATCTCATGATGCACTGAAATGTCTCCTAAAGTGCTGTAATCAGGGTTACACCACATTTGATCAAACAGAACAAATACAATAATTAAAATATTAGAAAACAGAAAAGCAATTTGAATAACTGGGACTTACGCGTTCAGTCCAAATGCTTTTCCTACTGCTCTAGACTTCTAGCTAGCATGCTCACCACTGCATTTAATTCTAAAAATTATTAACAGTATGCTGGCTAATGAACTGTCTTTCCAGTGCAGAAAGAAACGTTAAAACTGCACTGGACGTTAAGACTAATACAGCTGAGTTCAGCATGTGCTTAGGTATAAAATGGTTTTTGAGGGGCTTAAAAACTCATATTGAATCTAAATGATGGACAGTCTCTCACTCACTGACAAGATCTGACCCAAAAGCTCAAACCACACAGGGCTTACAAAGATGCTCCTGAATCTGCTCTCCTGCACTGACATATTCAAACAGTCTCAGCAACCTAGGCAGGGTGGCCAGATTGAGCAGAAATGTGCATATGGAGTCTTGTGGTGAACTGAGACTGAGATGTGCTCATAATTTGAGAGCATTTCTTTTGAGCGAGACAGGCTTTCACTCACCTAATATTACTCCCTGTGCTCCTCTGTAGTAGCTGGGTGTCAGAGTTCTGAACCTTTCCTGTCCGGCTGTGTCCTAGAAACATCATACAAGGCTATTTAAATGAGTTGCATTGTGTAAATGTGTCAGTACTGCCTTGCTGGAGGGTTTTGTCTTTTCTCTGATTTAACACATCTGATTCAGCTCGCAGTAATGATCAAGCCCTTTGTGTGCTGAACTGGGTGTGTTTGAACTGAGTAATTCATAAAACTCTGCAGCACTGCGGCTCCTCAGGACCTGAGCTGAACCTACAACACTACAACGATGCAGCACTGACACCTTGTGGGCAAAGTGATTCATTACTTTTAATACACAAAAACATTAGAAACAAGAAGTATTATAGCTTTTAAACTCCTAACAGGCTTCTTACTCAGTCATTAAGCTTAAGATTTATTTCATATACTGACCCCTACAGTTTAACCCCTTAAACACAAAATGAGCCATATGTGGGTCCACTCCTCCTTCCTCAATCTCATAACTACACTACTTACAGACTGGCTTCATAATAATAGGTATAATTCATAATGGGCCCTTTTCACGAGATTCGTGATTACTTCCGGTTTAAGCATTAGCAGGGTAAAACTCACCTCCTCTCCATATAAAGATTGCAGAAGCGATTCTAAAAAGTGTTATTGTAGTGAACTATAATGCTCAAACACTGAGCTACAACAGATATATACTTTTCCTGCACTGTCATGAAAAACAGCAAGAATAAGAAGTGGATGGAAGCACTGATTTATCTTTAAACAGAGCTAAAATGCTGTATGTGTGGGACAGCCTTGTTTTTACTGCAGTCTGCTGCAGCTGCTCACATCAAGCAGTACCTGTGTACAACACGCCAGCGATTTCTGTAATATTTCTGTTTTCAAAAGAAGTAAGAACTTTTATATGTAACATGAATTTGATGGACTCCGTTTATATTAAGATAGCTACGCTGGCTAGAAGCTACTGCCAACCAAACTAGATTGCCCGGCTAACATAAAGCAGCTTTCTGCTTTTTCAAATGTCACCGCAGAACCGCGATGCTAAGACACAAGTTAGCTAGGGAGTCGCGGTTTTGATTGAGCAGTGAAAGGTGGGCGTTTTTTCGAAGTACTGCTTCAAAAACTGCCATGAAACTAAGAGAATGCTACTGTTTGGCAGATCGCTAACATAGCTAGAAAGCTAGCTTTAAAGTTTGCTACTCATATGAAGTTGGAGTTCCTTAAACTGCTAATGGTGGGCTAGCTAATTAGTGCATGTAGCCTGCTAGCCTTCCATAAGCTAAAAGAGAGTTTAAACGAGGTCTGTCAAACAGACTTTACATATAAAAGTCCTGGTTTGTGGTTGTTACAGAAGTCGCTGGCATCCTGTGGCTAAATGAGGCACAGAACCTGCTCCACGTTAGCCGGCTGGTGCCGGCAGCTGATGAAAAGTAGCTTCCTTGTTTGGGAAAACAGCTACAGTTAGAAATGGCTTCTAGTGTAGCTAATTAGCTACATCTAAACAACGTCTACCAAATTCAAACTATATATAAAAGTTCTTCTTTCTTTTGAAAACAGAAATATTACAGAAATCGCTGGCATGTTGTACAAAGACAGAGAGACTGCTTGATGTGAAGCAGCAGCTCTCAGATTTTTTGTCCATCACATACACAGCATTTTAGCTGTGTTTAAAGTTAAATCGGTGCTTCCATTCACTTCCTTTTCTCACTTTTTGTCGTGATAGTGCACAAAAACTAACATGTCTGTTGTAGCTCAGTGTTTGAGCGTTATAATACACTACTATAACATTTTGTCATCACTTCTGCAGTAGTTATATGGAGCGGAAGTTAGTTTTACCCTGCTAACGCTTAAACCGGAAGTAATCGCCACTCTTTGTGAAAAGGGCCCATGCAGCAATAAGATAGGACTGGCTGTGTGTTAGAGATTTTACTTCAGTTAAGGGAATTCCACTTCATTACCCTAATTTTTACATTTCTGCATAATTAAAATGTTAAGTAAATGTTAAGTTTAGTAAACAAAATTATTCAGAGTGGTTTGATGTGAAAAACTGCAGAAACGTACAGTCAGAACATGTTCACAGTGGTGGTGATGGGAACCAGACGTCTGAATGAGTTTAATACCTCTAAAAGCTATTTCACCAGGGATGCGAATTTTGGCTAATTCTTTAGAGCGACCACTGGTCTACAATTAACTTGTAACCGGCAAGCCTAAAATGGAGGACATGACACATCAAAATATTAATTATAAAAAGGACAGCTCCGGTTCTGAAATCTGATTGGCTGAGCCACAAAGCCACTCTCAAAATATGCACACTTATGAGCACACATCACATGAACTCTGTATTAATGCACTGAGATACTAAAAAGTGTTCCTTGTAAGAACTGTGGAACGCAGTACTGATGGGTGGGGCCAGGTATAAACATATATGCTGTAAAAGGCCTAAAACCATAACAAACATACCCAATATAATAACACATTTTTGTTCAAAACAAGAGGCTGACAACTATAATACGTTCATGACTACAAGGGGCCTCATTCACCAATATCTTACCTATATCCTAAGTTTTTTCTTAAACCTGTTCTTGAGAAAAGTCCTAAGAAAAGGTCTACATCAGATCCATAATGTGTTCTTAAACTGCAGAACTGTTCACACCTTTGTGCTCGAGTGTGTAGATTTTGTTCTTACCTAAGAACAAATCCAAAATAAGAAAACAGAGGTGAACGTCAGAATCTTCCCAAAAACTGCGCAAGCGGGTTTTAAGAAGAAATTTCTTCTTAAGAATGGCTGGTGGGGGCCCCCGAGTGGCGCGACCATCACTCAACGCGATGCTAGTCAGCGGCTGGCGCTTTCAGCTGTCCAGTGAGCGGCAGTTCAAAAAGATACGGTGGCTGGTTTCACAGATCTCAGAGGAAGCCTGTGTTAGCCTTCACCCTTCTAGCGTTGATAGTATCGTGTGACTGGGGGAGTCCTAACTAGCGGGTGGAATTGGAACCAACTAAATTGGGGAGATAATTGGGTAAAAAAATCCCCCAAAAAAAAAGAATGGCTGGTGAATGAGGCCCAATGTTTACAAAATTACTGGAATATATAAACGATAGGCTACTGAAAAAGTTCTGGAGTTACATTTATCACTCATTACGAGCCCAAATTCAAAGAAACATAAATGCCTTGTCCCAACAGCTTCGGCTTAGTCGCCGTCCTCCACGTCCTGTTCTAAAGTTTTCATACCCATGTGTGATTTCCTCACGCCGGCGTGAATCACACTTTTTCTTAGAGAACATGGACAGAACTGTTGCCTGTCTTACTGCTTTCGATATGGAACACACTGTAGGTGTGCTATCGTCCTTTCAAACATGCTCCCAAACAACTGTTAGCTGTACTCTTAATTTCCTGTAGCCATATCTAGCAGGAATCAGTATGAAGCAGCATCACCTGCTTATTCAAATAGAAACCGTGGTTTATTGGAAATGAAATAAAATCTTTTGTCATTTGTCACTTAGCGGTTAATGGGTTAATCATTTACACCCCACAGCAAGTTATTAAATTACATACAAATATGTTGCCCAATGCCTGAGGTTGTTTTAAATTAGTTTTGAGATTAGATTTTGACTAAAATGTACTTTTATTTGTTCATAGATTTGTACAGGGTCCTGTGAGGCAAAATAATCCCCAAAGAGAATTTTCCACTATTTTACCATTATCAACATTATATATTAAAAACTCAGAAGACACAAAGTTTATCTTATTATATAAACCTGTATATAAACCTTTAGGTCTACGAAATATATGGGAAAAATAGCTAAAAAGTGGTCAGGGTCAAATCAATTAGCATACTATATGGAATAACATCACATCAGCCTCTAAAAATCCTAACCATCAGCTTATTCATTATAATTTTATCCACAGATCCTATTTAACCTGCAGACGCTACCGTATGCGTCTTACTCCATCTCCTCTTTGTAATTTTTGTTCTGATGATACATACGGTACATTTTTACATATGTACTGGGAGTGTTTAAATGTGCGTAAGTTTTGGACCAATGTTTCTTTTTACGTTATCAGACATTCTCAATAAACCATTCCAAATACAGTCCAAACTTTGCTTTTGATTGACGACTCTGAATGTAATTTAAATTGTGCTGAAAAGCGAATCTGGCTGGCTGGTCTCACAGCTGCAAAAAAATGTTAGTCTTGCGCTGGCAACCTCCACATTCTCTGTGCTGGTGGCAATGGATCCTCACCTTTGTGGATATTATTAATATGGAACTTTCAACTGCAAGGATCGACGGAGCTAGCGGGAGGACCGTGCGCTCTTTGGAACGTGCAGCTGAGAAAATTGGCAACTTATTGTGAAACCTGTTTTGTATTACTTGATATGCCATTGAGATTATTAATTAATTTATTTTTTCACTATTATTTTCTTCTTTGATCAGCAGTGGGTTTATGGAAGCCATGTGGGGGGATGCTGGGGTGGTTGGGTGCTTCATTTTGTTACTATGTCTTTTGCTGCTTACCGTATTTTGTATTATACTGGAGCACTATCGTAAAAATAAAAACATTTGATCACAAAAAAATTTAGAAGACACATGAAGGTTCACTGGTAAATAAAGTAAAGCAAGTAATAAAATATGTAAAATAAAGTAAGTAAATAAAACGGCTACACTTGTAGACATTGTGACTCCTGGTTTTTATCACCACCACTGTAAAGAAATCTGCATCAGTAAGTTTTTCCACAATGAACCATTCCACATCAAACCACTCTGTATGACTGTTTACATCTCAAAGATTGAGTAATGCAGAATTTTTGACATGCTGGGGTAATTCCCCTTTAAATATGGCAAAATTACTATAACACCTGCTCTCTCACAAATAACACAATTTGATAAAATACAATTCATTATGTTTTTTTCATGTGTGACTTATAATGACTGCGACAATTCTTCTGTCGAGTAAAGTAGCTTGTTAACAGTAGGTAAGCAGTCATAAATGTAACAATGGATATTAATAACTTGACGCATTAATACAAATTTCAGCCAATGTATGCAGACATACTTGTGAATACTGAACGTTTTACAACAGCTTCAAATGTGGCTCAATTAGATTTTACAACTTATGTTACGAAAGTCATAAATTAAGACGTTAGGTTGTTAATAACTGAATAATAAGCCAATGGTTCGAAGGGTTAATGAGTTAAATACTACCAAATACTACTAGTAAAATGAATTGACGTTTCTTAAGTGTGAAAATAAGCCACAAATGTACTCACCCATATTGCCAACTTTGCTCTGTTGCCATCTACTGCTATGGTTTTCACTTTAAAGTCCACACCTAGAATGGAAAGACACCAATCTCAGCTCAGTTCGTCCTATTTATTTGAGCTGATGTCTAGTTACAAGCCACCTTTGTCAATATTCAGTACCTTCAAGTTTCAGACATGTACTTGAATAATAATAAAGCTATAATTATAAAGATCTGGGCCAAGATTTAAGCTGTTTGGTTTGATCCACTACAATTATGTGACAGGCCAGAAACTCTGGTCACTCCAGAAATATGCCTGCGCTTTTACATAAATTAGTTAGTGAGGAAATAAACTTGTAGAGAGGAACAAAAAAGGTGAACCTTCCCTTTAAATAGGTCTTTCATGTAACTTTTAGTATTGGTCAAGGTAAGTATTCACTAAATCTTATTAAAGCTCATTTGTAAGCTCAACAGCAACACGTGTGCCTGATTAAACTCCATGCTGATGTAATGTCTCTGATATGCACACTTACCATTAGAAACAGCTCTCTGAATCAGACAGCTCACTGAATCAGATAAGATTTCAACTCACCGATGGTTGCAGCTAACTCTGGGTCAAATGTATCATCTGTGAACCTCAGGAGCAAACTGAGAAACAAGATTTCAGCACAGTCAGCACCAGGGCATGTTAAAGAAACCTTTAAACCATCCTTAAGCTCACATTAAGACAAATTCTTAAACGTATACCCTGTTAAGGGTTGAGTTTTAGTTTCTTCTATTGTCATGAACCAGTGAGGCGGTGCTTTAGGCCTTTTTCCTATCGCAGAAGATAAAGTGTACAGTTTGACTTCAAAATGTATGTACATTTTGAAAAAGTGTCACAGCCAGTATATCAAGCTTAGCAAGACAGCTTGAATGCTTGGAAGCTCTTCTTGCCCAGCTAATGAAATCAAGAGTGAGGTATTCAAGTTTAGCAACGAGTAGAGGGAATGAAATACCTCCAACAACTCAATTTGGCTTCTTATTCCCCCGCTACTTGTTAGCTGTTCCACCTTAAATGTGAGGCGCTAGTTAGAATGTGACTGCCGCACTATTTAAGGTGGAACGAAAAATTCGAGTAAGAAGCCAAGTTTAACTTCATATTTCATGAGTAACTTAGTTAGCTAGATATCTCTCTTAACCTTAGTTATTCAGCTCAACTATTTTATCCACAGTCATGGTTATTTCGCAAGCCTGTTAGCTTATCTTAGCTGGCTAAGATAAGTTGATAAGGGAAAGCTCACATTTGACCAACCAACTGTTAACTGTTAACATTTTCCTAACATTATAATAGTTAAATATGAAATATTTGGGAACATATGGCCTCAGGAGAGGTTTTCAGGACCCAGTCATAGCCTGAAAAAACAAGTAGCTTTGTTTCTTCATCCTGAACTCAAGAGAGCGACTGGTTAGCTTAGCTTAGCTCTGTATTAGCTTTAGCTAGGTTAGCTATGCTCTGCCAACTTCGTTTCGCAACTAAATTGCGGTTTCTAAATGCTCGTCTGTGTAGTGAACAGCTTAGAATCTAAAGTATGAAGACAAATCATCAAATTAAAGCCGGATTACCTCGACTTCCCGACGCCGCTCTCCCCGATAATCAGTATTTTTAAAGTGGTTAACACGTCGTCGTCCATGTTCTCCGTGTTTACAGTACAGGCTGCCTTCGGCTGACGTGACACAGCTGAGCGGCGCAGCGCGGAGAAGAAGGCCCGCCCGCTGTGGGGGCTGTGGGCGGCGCTGTGCACTCTCTAAAAAAAGATCTTCAAGGGTTCTTTAGTAAAGAGAATGGTTCTGTTTAGAACCATGAGTTCTATGTGGAACCATTTCATGCTTTAATGGTTCTTTGCATGGTGAAATGGTTCCTCAGAGTGATGGAGAATGTGGTGTATATGGTTCTACATAGAACCTTCTTGAAAATGGTACTACACTCTAAAAAGATGGTTCTTCAATGGTTCTTTAGTAATAATGGTTGGAAATGTGGAACAATGAACACTTAAAGAACCCTTTGCATGATTAAAGTGTTCTTTGCATTGTGAAAGGGCCCTTTAGATTGATGGATAATGTGCTGTAGATGGTTCTATATAGAACCTTTTTGAAAAGAGTTCTATATAGCACTAAAAGTGTTCCACTCTACAAGCTTTTTGGGACTATGTAGACTTCTTTTTGCTAAGAGTGTGTATAGAACCATCTACAGCACATTCTGAGGAAGCATCAATCTGAAGGAGAACCTTTTAATCATGCTGTAGATGGTTCTATATATCACGCGAAAGGGTTCTTCTATTATTACGATGTCAAGCTTGGGTGCTATATAGAACCCTTTTCAAAAAGCCTCCGTAAGGAACCATCTATAGCACATTCATGCACATTTTCCATCAATCACAGGAACCCTTTTCTTTTTACTGCAGAACCCTTGAAGAACCACCTTTTTTAAGTGTATACATAGAACCAAAAATAGTTCCTGTATTGTCACGATGTCAAGCTTGTAACCATAGAAGAACCCTTTTTTTGCTGCTTGATAGAACCATTTACAACACATTCTCCATCAACCAGTTCACCATGCAAAGAACCATTAGGCATGACATAGTTCTACATAGAGCTCATGAATCTAAATAGAACCATCCCCTTTACTAAATAACCCTTGAAGAACCATCTTTTTTTAAGTATGTGGGTGTCGCTGGCCGAGTGGCCAAACTAGTGATGGGTGACACCACTAATTTTCTTTTTGATGTGATACCAAGTAGTGATGGACATTCCAGCTTTTCAGAGAGTTCGATCATGTGGGTCAGCTCACAAATACGAGCCGACTCACAAACAGCTCCTCCTTCAGTAGCATTGCACCACCCCCCCACTCCACCCCCGGTAGGCAAATTAATGATATCTATCAATTAATTTTCAACAAAACCAAAGTCTACCTTCTAATTAATTAATTAACAAGCATTGCTTGTTGTGTCAGAGCTGGTCTTTTCAGTTCAGCTCTTCATTCAGAAGCAGTAACGTTGGGCCTCATTCACCAATATCTTCCTAAGTTTGTTCTTAAATGTGTTCTTGAGAAAAAGTCCTAAGAGAAAGTCTACGTCAGATTCATGACGTGTTCTTAAACACTAGAACTGTTCTCACCTTTGTGCTTTTGAGTGTGTGTAGATTCTGTTCTTACCAAAGAACAAATCTCAAATAAGGAAACACTGGTGAACGTCAGAATCATCATGAAAACTGAATAAGTGGTGAATGAGGAGCAATGTTACTGCTACTGAATGAGGCCCATTGTTATCTATCATTTCAGCAACAATAACTAATAACTAATTAACATAAATTGCATTAGTTTTGTTATTTCCTGTAACAACTTTCTGTGAGGAAGCTTTTAGAGGCAGTAAAGTCTTCAAACGTCTGGTTCCTATCACCACCACTGTGACCAATTTTGACCAGTAAGTTTCTCTAAAATGTAGCATTTCACACTAAACCACTCTGAATGAACAGAGGATGAAGCTATTTCTTAAAAAGATCATAGTCGAATGTAGTTTGAGCGCCAATTTGTCTAATATACCACCTGTATTCTAAAATACATCTTCTTACAGGTAGAATCAACAGTAGAGTGACAAATCAAGTATATCCATTTCCCTTTTCTTCTGTTATTTCCTAATCATACGGTGCCGTTTCCCAAAGGGAAGTTTCCAGTGGCCGCTATCAATGGCCTTTTGTCCTGTTACTGAAGCGGATGATTGCCCCCAGGTTCAAACGGCCTACAGGAGGTACCTGACCAGTGCATTAGAAAATTACAGCTTTTAAGAGAAAGCTATAGCTGTGGGTAAATACACTGTGATAACAATTACTGATTGTTGACCAAGAGTTAAAAGACACCAAGACCTTTGTTCTTACTCTTCCAGCTCAAGTGAACCTCAATATGAGGCTGGGGCCCATGGTTAAGGGACACCAAGCTGATTGATAGAAGCCTGGGTGGCAGAGAGGGGGATTTATTTTCAGGATGCTTGCACGTAATAGGGAAAGCAGCAATAGCAATTATTCAAATGGGCCATTAGCTATTGGTGTGCCATAGAGGCTGGTCTTCACAAACTCTCCAAAACTCTAGACGAGCCAAATGAAGTTCTAGCAACCATGGTGTACACCACAGACTGCGTGGAAAAACCAATCCGGTTTTGCTTTGAAAGAGTGGGCAAGTTTATCGGACTCCATCCATGGTGGTTCATCGTCGTTCCCCTTGCTTTAGCTGCATCTCTTGGATGGGGCTTCTGCTTTCTTGAAGATAGAAAATCCAACGATATTGTGCAGCAGTTCACACCCATTGATGGACGCGCGAAGACGGAGAAGCACTTCTACAAAGCCTTTTTCCCCAATAATAAAGAAGTGTTTTCCAGTCTCAGGCTGACCACAGATGGAGCTTACGGAGCTCTAATCTTCACCAGCGAGACGGATGTGCTCAGCGTTGGTGCACTGGAAGAAATCCTGCACGTAGACGCCAGCGTGAAAGGAATAAGCATCAGACATGGAGAAGAAGGAGTTTGCATATTCAGATATTTGTGCTAAAGTGAATCAGCGCTGCCATCCCAACTTACTTGAAATCTTGGATTACGATGCCAACAACATCAGAGTGATCAACCTTACATTCCCAGTTCATCATCACAGAATGGGTCGAGTACCCCTGGAACATCTCCTTGGCCAGGTGGACAAAGACAGCAATGCAGTGGTCCAGAGTGCCAGGGCAGTGAGACTGTTTTACTATCTCCAAGAAGTCAATGATACACTGGAAGATGCTTGGTTGAATGAATTTGTTCATTTGTTGACCAACGTTACAACGTCCGTCACGCAGGTACGTCTTATTGATCCCAATATTTGGATTCATGCTTTTCTGGGTATTTTCAAGTGATAATACACTCACTGGCCACTTCATTAGGTTCACTTACTTTGTATCTGCACTCATTGCCCACTTACCATATATACTGTGCAGAAGTCAGAGACCACCCTTCATTTATTTCATTTGCAGTCAAATGGTCACTAAATGCAAGTTATTCATTTTTCAGGAGATATTTCTGAGGAGATTAGACAAAAGACAATCCACATGCATAAGGAAGGACAAAGTCAGAGGAAAATAAGTGAACAGGAGTTTCCAAAGTTCGAGTTTAAAAAACGATTAAAAGCTACAAAGAAAATGAGACAACTCTGCAAGACCACCTGGTAGACCACCAAAACTGTCCCCATCAGATAAACAGCACTGAGCGCTTTCACCCTTGAGAGAGAGGAGAAAATCTGAATCTTTTTGATGGGAAATTAAATAAATGAAAGGTGGCCTATGACTTTTGAACAGTACTGTATATGTCTTATTTAACCTTACACACTTAAAAACAGATGGTTCTTCGAGGGTTTTTTAGTAAAAAAAGGTTCTGTATTAAACCATGAACACTCAAAGAACCCTGTGCACGATTAAAGGGTTCTTAATGTCATGAAAGTTTCTACAGATTGATAGAGAATGTGCTGTAGATGGTTCTATAGATGGTTCTGTGCTGTAGGTGGTTCTCTCTAAGTCTATATAGTCCCAAAAAAGGGTTCTTTGGCTTGAAGCAAGAGTGGAACACTTTTGGTGCTATATAGATTCAAGATTCAAGAGTTTTATTGTCATATGCACAGCAGAAACAGGCAGTTACACTGTACAATGAAATTCTTACTTTGCTGTTCCTCCATTCACCAATATAGTCTTAGAAAAAATAAATAAAGTATAAGAATATATTAAATACACTGAATAAGTATAAATACACTAAAAACCAAAAAGTAAAAAAGTACAGTTCTATGCACAAAGTTGGAAGAAAATTAAAGTTACATGTGCGTATGTGCAAGTATGTAGAGCAGCGGTCCATAAAGTGCACGTTGCAAGTAACAGATGTAAACAGTAGTGTTCTGTGCAAGTAATAGATGTTTTCAAAAAAGGCTCTATAAAAACCCATCTACAGCACATTCTCCATCAATCTGAAGAACTCTTTCACAACGTTAAGAACCCTTTAATCGTGCACAGGGTTCTTTGAGTGTTCATGGTTCTATATAAAACCATTTTCTTTGCTAAAGAACCTTTAAAGAACCATCTTTTTTAAGAGTGTAGCAAAGCAATCTGTAGAGCTAACGCTAACTAAACTATCTAAATGAACTCAGCTAAAGTGTACCTTATTCTCCTGTGCCTACTTTCTGTCACAAACTGTACATTTTTACTCCATTTTTTGCTTTGTCCAAAGTAAAACACAAAATCTAGTGTTGTACGGATGCAATTTGTGGACATATTTATGCGGATTCAAGTTCAAAGCTCTGGCTTCAACTCTCAAATCCTGAATTCTACACGAGAATATTTCAAATATGCATGTATGTACACTGTTAGAAATAAAGGTTCTGTGCTGGTATATCTTTTGTTCATCAACGTACAAAGAATGTAAATGTTCCCTCAAAGGTACAACAGTAGTTTTAAGGTCCATTATGCACCTTAAATAAGTTTTTCCAGGTGAAAAGTACATATTTGTACATTTTCCTAACCTAATGATTTAAAACAGAACAATAAAATAAAAAGCCTGGAGACGAGACGGGGTGTGTGGAGTAGGTACAGCTTAGAAAATATCATTTCAATGGATTATTGTACAGTTATGTTCCCTGACTAAAGGTACTGAGATGTACCCTTAGGGGTGCTGCCCCAGTGACAGTTTCACACCTTTATTTCTGAGAGTGTACACTGAAATAATCTCTTGTATGATACTGATGTTTTTAAGAACTTCATAATTCTGCTGTTTCTTTCAGGTATCCTACTTCACTTCCTTGTCAAGGCAACAGGAGTTTGAGAAAAGCACTAAGTCCGTCACTCTGCTTTTTGCCATAACCTACTTTATTGCTATTCTGTTCTCAGTTCTGTCATGTATAAGGTTTGTATGACATTTATATATGAGTTACTTTAAAAAATGTTTTGATTACAGATTCACTATGTATTGACCATGCTTGATTTTGTCTCTCTGCAGGCTTGACAATGTGAGGAATAAAGTGTGGGTGGCCAGCCTTGGAGTGATTTCAACTGGTCTAGCTGTGCTTTCCAGCTTTGGGTTCCTCTTAATTCTAAATGTTCCATTTGTCATAACTGTGGCATCATCTCCATTCCTGATACTCGGTAAGCCACAGGCTTTCCTTTAAAGAATTAGGTCACAAAAAATCACATTAGGCAAATTGCTATATCAAGTTGTTCAGTAATCAAAAGTAGACTTGCTTATGTGGCTTAACATACGGTATTATTCATATACTATCTATAAACATGGATAAAATTATGAACAAAGGTCAGGCTTCAAGATGGCTGCTGCTACTGTTTTTAGCTATGCAACATAAAGTGCTGTGCAAAAGACCACCCTTCATTTATTTGATTTCCAGGTTAAATGGCCATTAAGCATAACTTATTCATTTTCAGGAGAAAAGGAGAAGACATTTTACACAGGAGCCTCAACAACTAAATATAATATCACATTTTTCAATGTTTAGTGTGTCACTCTTTACCTTCATTACAGCTTCTGTTCTTTCCAGGAGACTCACTTTCATTTTCTCAGAGAAAACTGCAGGGACATTTTCCTCACCTCCAAAGTTCAGAAGGAAGAGTGGAGCTTGATTTTCTCCTCTCTCTCAAAGATGAAAGCTTTAAGTGCTGTTTATCTGATGGGGGCAGTTTTGGTGTCTACCTCGTCTTCTATATAGAACCTTTTGGAAAAGGGTTCTTCCATTGTTACGATGTCAAACCTAACAATATAAGAACACTTTTTGGTGCTACATAGAATCCTTTTCAAAAACGTTCTGTATAGAACCATATAAAACACACTCTCCATCAATCTGAAAAATGCTTTCATGATGCAGAGGGTTCTTTAAGTATTCATGGTTCCATGTAGAACCACTTTCTTTACTAAAGAACCCTCGGAGAACCATCTTTTTTAAGTGCGTACTGAAGATGTACCCCTATGGGTACCATCCCAGCGACAGTTCAGTACCTTTATTTCTGAAAGTGTAGCATCAAAATCTAGAGAACCAAGCACCTTGCCGGACTGACTACACTGGTGCTTTAGGCAAAATTCATTATACTTTGTAATTAGTTGCTGCTGAGGTCATTGACAGTTCATGCTGGAAGATAAACTACAGTACGTGTCTTTCAGGGATTGGCATTGACGATATGTTCATCATGATCTCCTGCTGGCAGCAGACCAACGTCCACGACAGTGTAGAAGACCGCATGGCTGCCACTTACAGAGAAGCAGCCATTTCCATCACAATCACCACCCTGACCGACGTGCTGGCCTTCTACCTCAGTTACAGCAACCCTTTCCGTTCCGTACAGTCTTTCTGCCTGTATGCTGGCACCGCCATATTGTTTCTGCTACCTCTACAACATCACCTTCTTTGGTGCATGTTTGGCTCTGAACGGCAAAAGAGAAGAAGGCAACCGCCACTGGCTGACATGCATGAAGGTTCCTGAAGACTGTCCTCCAGGAGCTTCCACAAGGTATATCGCATGTTGTGTTGGAGGCGCTTACAACCGTGAATCTGGAACTGAGGAGGAACATCTGATGCAAAAGTTCTTCAGGAAGCACTATGGACCATTTTTAACCACACTGTGGGCTAAAGCAGTGGTGATTATTCTTTACTTGGTATATGTTTCCATCAGTATCTATGGGTGCACTACTATTAAAGAAGGCATTGACCTCAAGAACCTGGCGGTTGATCAGTCTTACATTGTCAAATACTATGAGGATGAAAAGGAATACTTTGGTCATTACGGTCCAAATGTAATGTTGGCCGTGAATAGTACGTTTCCATATTGGGAGAAAGCGGAACGAACTCAGCTTGAGTTTTGCATTGTAAAATTTCAAGAACTTCCATTTGTGAGCAACCTATCTCCCTCTTGGCTTCATTCTTTTGAACATTATGCAAAGGAAAACAGCATCAACATTAGCTCAGACGTTGAATTTAAGAAACATTTGGAACCTTTTCTAGGACAACATCCAATGCTCAGGTTGGATGTTAGTATTACCAATGATACCATAGATGCCTCACGCTTATTTCTTCAGACCTCCAATGTTTCATCAGAGAAGATAATGCTGGAATCATTGAGAAAAACCGCAGATGACTGCCAGATATCTTTAGTGGTCTACCATCCAGCATTTATATACTATGATCAGTATGCTGTGATTGCGAACAATACCATTCAGACTGTTTGCGTAGCTACTGTGGTCATGTTGGTCATCTCATTCATACTCATCCCAAACCCAGTCTGTGCTTTGTGGGTCGCTTTTGCCATTGCGTCGGTCATTGTGGGAATTGCAGGCTTCATGGCACTGCTGGGCATCAACTTGGATTCCATCTCGATGATCAACCTAGTCATTAGCATTGGCTTCTCTGTGGACTTCTCTGCACATATCTCCTACACGTTTGTGTCCAGCACTAAGCCCAGTGTGAATGAGAAAGTTGTGGATGCGCTGTCACATCTGGGCTATCCCATACTGCAAGGAGCTTTGTCCACAATTCTAGGGGTGGTAGTGCTCTCTGCATCTGTAAGCTACATCTTCAGAACCTTTTTCACCATCATGTCTCTGGTTATTTTGTTGGGGCTGCTTCACGGCATTGCTTTTATCCCAGTGTTTTTAACTTTTTCACAATGCAGCAAGTGATACAATCGTTCTGTTTATTTAACTGATTAGTTTTACCCATCAAGTTATTAGAATGACTGTCAAAGTTATATCTTTTGTTGTATTGTTTTTGTAAAGGGGTCAATGAGATGACATGCATTTCTTGTGTTTATTATTTTCCTATTAAAAGATCCAACAAATACATGACATTTTTCTACAACACCTCTTTTATGTGAAAGCATTTTCAGTGCATCAGAATAAAACGCATTTCAAACTGAAAGTGAAGTCTAAACATGTCAGAAGTACGACTCGCCAAACTCATAAATACTTTTTCTTCTGAAATATCAGGCAGTGCAAGACCTTTTATTCTGACATCCTTTTAAGAAAAAAATGCGCAGTGTTACATCATAAAGAAGACCCCAAGTGACCCCCATGGTGCAATGCCAAAGTAAACAGAATAGCTGTTTATTAAAGTTTAATAGTAATAAAAAAAAAAACAATTGAATTGTGATTTTGCTGGTTGTTATAAGTCAGTGGTGCAACCACAGGAAAACACATAAAAAGTTATAACTATTATAATAATGTTTATTTATTTGTGACAAAAACAAACAAAAATAACCCCACAAGTATAAATTTAAGTTGAAGGACAAAAGGTCTGATATGGAAGTCCAAGTACAAAGACTAGTCTGTACACGTTATAGGTTGTCAGTGGTTGTAAATGACGTTAAAATGTTTTAATATATTTTTGTTTGTGTGGTTGCACCAGCTGACATTATCTGGTTGTCAAAATTGATCGTGTAAAATGAATTTATGCCATTATGAAAACTATGAAAAAAAAAGCAATGCACTGAATAAAATTATTGCACATATCATTTTAATTATTATTTTAAAAGCCTTATTTGAAGAAAGGAAGATTAATTCAAGATCCACAGTTAAAAAAGCTCTAGTGTATTACATGCCAGCAGATGAAAAGTATGTGTAACTGAGAATATCGGAGTGGATATGAACTAAAAATAGCTTCAGAATAGATTCGGCAGATTCAGACTGTGAAATGGCCTCATGATAAATGCCAGACTGTGTGAGGTCTTTATTTGCGTTTCTCTCCTTTCCAGAAAATAAATCCATAAATCCATTATGCAAATGCATTTATGGTCAGGAACGTGTCTGTCTGTTTAATCTATTCAGTGCCATCAATAAACAAATTCAAAGAATAGCTTTTCATATACTTTTATTTATTACAGCAACCCATTCCTCACTAACTTTGCACAAACTTCAAGCGCAATTCAACTTAAAACTCAATCAAACCTCAGGTTTACATTCCTCTATACATCTATATACAAAGATAAAATGTTCCCACGCAATATTGTTCATATATACACGTCTAAACTTAACTTAAGGAAGACATACAAGACAGGCAGAGTCAACTCAAAAGGTGGATCCACATAAATAACAGTATAAGATATCAAACCAAACTTCAAGAATAAAGTGGATTTGACTAACACAGCAAAGGATAGATGACCTGACTTCAACCACACCTCATATAAGGTTTTAGGATTGTGCAAGTATATGTTCCCAATCACTATATAATACAGCATATGTATTTATATATGCCAAAAGCACTGCTATGCATTCTGCTTTTCTTTAGAATTAGGTACAGTACTAAGCTCACGTCAGAGACTGCCCTTCATTTATTTAATTTCCAGTCAAAATGGCCATTATGTGCAAGTTATTTACTTATCATGTCAGGCAAAAGCTGAGAACATATTTCATAAAAAAAAAAAAAATCTGAGGAGACTTGCTTTCAGTTCTTGAAAGAAACCTGCAGGGATATTTTCCCACACCTCCAAAGTTCAGTCTTATAAGTTTGTTGTATTTTCTGCTTCTCATGATCCAAATAATCCCAAACACATTCAGTAATGTTGAGGTCTGGACACTGGGGTGGTCAGTCCATTGTTCAGCTTCTTTGTTTGATGTGTCCGTCTCCTTTTCTCAGTGAGGGCCTCTTTACAGCTACACATCCTTTCAGACCCACAGCGCTGAGTCGCCTTCTCACAGTGGAAGGATGGACAGAAACACCTGTGGATGTTTTCAGATCTGAAGCAGCTTGATTTTCTCCTCTCTCTCAAAGATGAAAGCTTTAAGTGCTGTTTATCTGATGGGGGCAGTTTTGGTGTCTACCAGGTCTTCCAGGTGGTTGTTAGGAGTCCCAGTTTCTCTGTAGCTCTTAATGAGCTTTGTAAACTCATGTGTTTTCATTTATTGTCCTTTGACTTTATGCAAGTGGATTATCTTATATCTAACCTCCTCAAATGGGGGCAGTTTTGGTGGTCTACCCAGTCTTGCACAGTTGCTAGGGGGTACATTTTCTCTGTAGCTTTTAATAATTTTTTAAATTCAAGTTTTTTTTTTTAAACTTATTTTCCTTTGACTCTAATTTATGCAAGTAGATTATTATATATATCTTATCTCTTCAGAAATATCTCCTGAAAAAATTAATAACGTGTACTTAATGGCCATTTTGACTACAAACTAAGGGAGAGCTTTTTTACACAGTACTGTATTTTTTAGTTTGCAGGTAATTAAACTTATCTTTGGTAAACCTGCCAATGAAAAGACAGTGGAATTCTGAAGAAGAAACACATGACAGATTAGTGTCCAGATCGAAGAATTACAAAGTGACTCAAAGACCTCTGAAACAGGACTATTCACAAGCAGATAAACTAAAACAGTACGTCCTTAACATACAAAACTGTAAGTATTCCACTTACCAAAGTGCCTTGAGACATTCTTTAGTCCCGCAGTGACATACTGTACATTCCCAATTTTCTCAAGGCCACAGTGAGACCTACTCAACAAAACTCACAGCTGTGGCTAAACTGGAGTTCAGATTTGCGCATAATGACAGGATTTCTTTTCTCTGCATACACACTTCCTCTATTCGTGGCCACAAGTGGTTGCAGACAATATCAATGTAGCAAAGAAATAAGAGCTGTTCAGAAACAGCCAAAATGTGTTATATGAAGAGGAAATATGACAGGGAATAGTCAAAAAAATGTATAGTGCTTCTCATTCAGCTATAAGGACAGCATAAATCTCTTGAGTGCTGGCTCAGAAAATATATGATGAGGTTTGTGTAGATACTTTCTGGGGGTAAAGCTTACCAAGATCGTCTACTGCATATGTACATTTGTGAGTTTTCATACTATGCAAGTCTCTCATCTGCTTTCTAACGTCTTCCCCTCCAAGACCATCTGGATCTCTTTGGCGTCCAGCGTCTCGTATCTCAGCAAAGCCTCTGCCAAGTTTTTGTGCTCTTTCGCACGAGACTTCAGGAGCGTTTTAGCCCGCTCGTATGAATCCTGAGAGGAAAAACAGCGGTTTATTTTCCCAGCTGTGACAATTTACACCACCAAGGTAAATTCACAAAAAAAACAAATAAAAAAATGCGGAACATATGTAGTCAAAATTCTGAACTGCTTACTCTCAAAAGCGTCCTGACTTCCTGTTCAATGGCTGCCTGTGTTTCTGGGCTCTGCTTGGCGATATCAGTGTAAGTCATGACACCCAACTAGACAACATTAAAGAAACACACAAAAAAGGAATGAATACATCACATAATGGTAAAATCTGTAGTATAGACAAGACCTTCAGAAAGTTTTCCTTATTGCTGATCACAGATGTGTTTATACTTTGCAGGTGAAACAGCTGGCATGTCCCAGTTATTACAGTGCTCAAAAGCAGTCTTAGGACACGTCCATCATTTGTGTTTTTAGAATTATTGAATTTGTTAATATATTATATACATTTTGCCTCACCATTTTCAAAAGTACATCATTTCAGCTATGTTGTAACTTATCCACTTATACTTTTGGTCCAACAGGACAAAAGCTAGAAAAATAGCTTAGAATCAAAAAAAAAAAAATTCACTAATCCAAATGTGGACACATCATGTTGAAACGAACATTCTGAAAGAGAGGGATTTGGAAAACTTAAATACTGAGTGGAATTTATCTGTCAAAAAAAATAGTGGCCCTTAAAGTTGTATACAGTCAACTGTCACCGACAGGTTAGTTTAAATTTTGATCTCTGCCGTTTCTGTAAGATCTAACTCATGTCTGGTAGGAGTGCATGTAAATTTGAGGTTAATAGTTTACCAACCTGAAAATGCTATTATAAATATCATCTATAATACCAATAATAGTAATGAAAATAGAAAACAATAATACTAATTGTTCACATGGCAATCCAGTACAAAAGGGAATTTTATTTTACAAGCACATTAGTATAATTCCTGCAACTATTTCATGCTCCATTTATAGATGTTACACTGTACTTTTGTTTTATACTACTGACACCACCCAAAAAATAAATCATACAAAATCACATCATTCTACCATCTTAAAAAAAATAAAAAAATAAACACACCAATACATTTTGTTTATTTCACGTTTTACTCTTTCCAGTCATCGAAAGTTTAACACTACAAATTTTGGTCAGTAGGGGGAGCAGTGTAGTCACTTCTGGACCTCAAATTACGAGCACAGCCATTGGCTCACAACCAACTGAATGCTGTCGTATTATTGGCTCCCTACCAAAACATTAGCATGTTTGTTTATTGGATGTTGTCAGTTGGGAAGTACCAAGTATCAGCTAAAATGCAAGAAAGCTAATCAATTCATCTGGTCACTGTAGACTTGTACTTTAATACTCGAACACAATTAACAGTAAAACTACTGTTAAACGCAGTTACGTATATGGCAATTAATTGGCAGCTTAACAGTCATGAGTGCGACAGGCCTAGAAGCAGCATCAGAAATATGTTAGAGCTTTATTTTTTTTTAAAAGAGGGCTTAACACAAACCTTGTCACTCATGCCGAACCTTGTCACCATCAATTCGGCTATTTTTGTAGCGCTGTCAAAATCACTTGATGCACCTGCCAGGTTGAACCAAAAATTAACATACATCTACCTTAAAATCACAGATCCCCACTATACTCCTTTTAGTTTAATACTTTCACTACGTCTGAAACACTGCATAATAAAACTACATTGTTTATTGCAACTTTTCCAGCATTTCAATAATAAATAACAGGGCTCACACTAGTTACTGCTACAACAAAATTTAGACTGAGGTTGACATTAAGGTGAACTAACCTGTGGTAATGTTCTCATTTCCAAAGATGAGCTCCTCTGCCACTCGGCCACCCATGCTGACGTCCATCTGTGCCAGCAATTGAGCTCTGGTTTCACTCCAGCGGTCATTCTCTGGCAGCATAGAGACCTGGGAGGAATAATAACAACTGAGAACACAGGCTCCCCAACAAAGTACACACTGTAGTGAGTATGTTTTTGTTTTTCAGTAGATATAAAACTGATGTGACTCCATACAAATTAAACATATTAAATTAATCAAAATAAATATAAATGATATGTGAACTTCTATGCAATGAGTACTTATATGCACCATACACATTTGTCCATATGTTATTGAACACAAAAAACAGTCTTTCCTGACTGCTGTTCAATGACTTATTAGTGTGTGATCAGTTTGCCAGCGTAATACAAAAATAGCAGTGAGAGTAACTCACATGACCCAAAGTGGGTCCTCTTGGCATAATGGTTGCCTTGTTGATGGGCATGGCGTCTTTGGTGTAATATGCAATGATAGCATGGCCCGACTCGTGGTAGGCTGTGATCACTTTGTTCTTTTTGTCTATCTCGGCACTTCGGCGCTCCGGGCCTGTACGGAAGACAGGGAGGTGTGTTAGGACAGTAAAAAAACTAAACTGTGAGGTGTAATAGCCCATTTCACAAAACAAGATTTCTTAGTAAGCTGGATAACTTGAAGGAATGCTTTGGCAAAAATTCTAATTTACACAATTTTCCACTTACCCCAGATGTAGCTGATTAGCCAAGACATTGTTGTTTCAATTTTTTAAACGATTTGGTTTTGTGCTAGAGCGACAAGGCTAATGTAGCTCCCAAACACTATAGATCAATAGTCACCCAAATATTTTCTGTAAATACATCCACAAAACTTCTCTCAATCTGCTCAAACAGCATCCAGATCTTCATTAAGATCACCCAGACTTGTAAATGTGGTTTAGGACACAGTATGACCATATCTGGGATAAGTGGAACATTAAATTGTTTGCCAAACCATTCCTTTAAACCAAAAACTGACCAGTAGGAATGTCCTCTAGCTCTACTCCTTTAAAACAGGCCTGATTTTTGGTTTATGTTATCCAGCTAACTGCGAAATCCTGCTCTGCAAAACAACTACGCCCCCAAGACTTGTACATCATTGTTTTAATCCTCCTTTCTTTAGAGAAGACATTCTAACCCATTAGGATCTTGTCCTTGGCAAACTCCAGCTCCTTCATGGTCACCATGTCCTTGCCATCCACAGCAGCTTTCAGGGCAGCTTGGTTTACCAGGTTCTCCAGGTCAGCTCCAGAGAACCCCACTGTTCCTCTGGCAATGATCTCAGCCTCCACAACTGCACAGAGTGAGATTAGAGTGAATTATTAAAAATAAATGGCACATTAACAGCACAGTCATATTTTAAGATACTAGTAGGCATCATATTACAGGCTGTGATCAAAAGAATTAAGTAATTCTAATATTATCGTGAGAAGTTCACTGTATTAAATGACGTACCTGGATCTACTTTGATTTTTTTGAGGTACCATTTGAGGATCTCTGTACGTCCCTTCACGTCCGGTTTGGGTACAGTGACTTGCATATCAAACCGCCCCGGGCGGATGAGAGCACTGGAGAGGATCGGGATATGAACATCAGACTGACTCAAATTATCTAATAAAAGGCTCTGTGCCAGCAATTACCATAAATTATGTGGATTTATTACACAACTCCAAGAGACCCCTTAAGGTGTACTTGAGATACATACTTATCCAAAGCTTCAGGGAAGTTTGTAGCACCAATAATGATGACACCTTCATTTGGTTTAAACCTGCAGATGCAAAGCACAATTGATTAAATTCAGGTCAATGATACAGAATTACTGAAGAAACAGATCCAGTGTGAGTGGTAAGAGTTAAAATCTCACCCGTCCATCTCAGCCAGAAGTTGGTTAATGGTCTGCCTAGAATAAGGGTGCATCGGTGACTCAATCCTCTTTCCCCCCACGCTGTCCAGTTCATCAATGAAGATCACACAGGGGGCATTTGCTTTAGCCTCACCTGGGGGAAGAAGTGAAGATTAAAATAAGGTATGATATGAGCGGGTCATGAGTATTACAGCATAGTATAGATACGTATTAGCTACATTTCCCTGTTGTTGAGAATTTCCCCATTGTGGGACTAATAAAGGATTATCTTATCTTAATTCATAGCTAATATAGTCAAGTCAATAGGGGAAATAAGGCAAGCGTAAATTATTCAGAGCAACTATTCAAGCTACTGAGGTGACCTTTATAGAGAAATATGGGGGCTTGTATTTTATAGTCTGGTCTGTTTTTTTCAGAAATCAGAGATACTAGAAAGGACTGTATTTTGAGAAAACTGGTAGCCAATACCTCTGTACTTGAGAAAAAGTGTAAGTATAAAAAAAGTACTTGCTTGTAAATATACTTAAGTATCAAAAGTAGCACTGAGTTATTATAGATTTGGTATAATATTGTTTTGATGCACATAATTATTATATAGCAGGTTTACATATATACCTGGCATACAATCTCCCTGGACAAAAGAGTCATCTTGCATGTTTAAGGTGGCAAGAAACTTTAGGCTTCTGCAGATGGTGTTGCATGAGGACTATAAGTACTTGTTGGGCGTGCAACGGGACTCATAGATTGAGAAGAGGTGGTACAGTGCAGTGAATGTGAATTGGTAAAAAGGAGTAACTGCATTCGGGCGTGCCAAAGGCCACAGTCTGAAGGAAGTAGCTGAATTTGATGGTGGATGGAAGCATACGGTCATACAGGTTGACCAGCAGGGGCAAAAATCCCAGTCTACAGGAAATTCTCATCAGAACCGTCTATGCCAAATCAAATCGCAGCTGTTATTCATGCTCATGGAGGTATTACACGCTATTAGGTACATTTTAGTCAAAGGTGACTAATTTTTTTGTCCGGTGAGCTTAATAGCATGTATATATACACAACTGTGTGAATTTTTTAGTCTTCTATCTAATATAACTTTTGTTTTTGATACCTAAGTATATTCACCGGCAAGCACTCTTAGACTTTGCTGGTGGTCTAAAGAGTTGGACACACACTCACAAAAGGTATAAGGAGATCCAAGGTACTTACGAAAAAGGTTCCTGATCCGGCTAGCACCAACCCCAACAAACATCTCATCAAACTCTGATCCGGAGGCATAGTAGAAAGGCACATCGGCCTCCCCTGCCACAGCCCGAGCCAGCAGAGTTTTCCCTGTTCCTGGAGGTCCCACCAGCAAGATTCCTGAAAAGAAACATACGTCTTTAACAAGTATGTACAAAATGCTGGAAAATTCCTCCCCAGTTGAAACACTGAAATGTCTCAGGGTGGTGCTGTTATGTGTGAACCTCAGTAAAGATGTCAGGGCATTTGGCAATTGCCCCTCCTGCACTGCTGGTAGTTATGCTGCTAATCCTAATGCCTTTATGTTTACAATAGTCTTCTACAATAATGTAAGCAAGCTTACCTTTGGGCAGCTTGCCTCCCAGGACAGTGAACTTCTGTGGGTTCCTGAGGAATGCCACTACTTCCTGCAGCTCGTTCTTGGCCTCCTCCACACCTTTGACATGCTCGAAAGTGACATTTTTCATTTGGACAGGGTCCACCGCCGAATCCAGGCCTGATGTGGTTCGGAATCGCACTGTCCGGAACGGTTAGATTACAGTTCACACACCAAAGGCACACTGCACACATGCTCTCTCTCTCTCTCACACACACACAAACATAAAATCTCACAGAGCTTGCTGCTCACAGGGATTAGCATCAAACTGTGACATGGGGCATTTTTCCACTGCACAAAGAACCTCTGACACCAGAAAACTGGAACTGTGCTTTTTCCATTGATCATTATTTCAGTACTGAAGATTCTAGTTTTATGGTTTTTGCTACCTGCTCAAGAGTGACACTACCAGGACCTAATGGTACATGAGGGTGTTTTCCTTTGTCTTTGTTAACACTTGCAGCAGCTGAAGCCAACAATAATGTAGTGAATTCTTTACTTATCCAGGTGAGAATAAAGTCCCTAGGGATGTGCGTTCTGACTAATTTGTAAGAGTAAATGAACGAATATCCAGTTAATCGCAGGGAAGAAGAGAATATTTAAAATGGACAAAAAAAGGGACTTTAGCTGAAATTAACATGGAACTGGAGACAGAGGCCCGCTCTTAGGTGATCGCTCTGGTGTTAAAAGTCTGGATCAACATGCTAGTTTGTCCGACAAATATATTTACATTTACACTTACATTTACATCATTTAGCAGACGCTCTTATCCAGAGCGACTTACAAAAAGTGCTTTGTCTATCCAGAGAAAGAATCTTTGCTAGCTACCAAAGTTTCCTTTGTTTCTGGACCTAGCTAAAATCGGCTAGAGTAGTTGCCTAGTTAGCGACAGAGCCTTTACAGAGCGTTACATTAGCCTTCTCAATCACATCCTTAACAACATGTCCTTGATACGCACTCATATTTCGGAGTGGCCCAGTGTAATATACATACTTACTCACAAACACGAACAAAATCGTAACATTTCATAATCTTGATCAAACATACAAGCGGCTTTTAATTGAACTGTTAGTCTGCATAGTTTTTGTCTTTATGCGCTGGAACAGAACCAACACCCAAACAGTGGCTGTGTTTACATGCAAAGATTTTTGCCAATCTGATTGAATACATTCCTATTACAGATTAAGACTGAGGTGTTTATATTCACTCTACTCAACAATCTGATGAAAATCTCTGTTTACATGCTCACTACAAGTAATCCGATCCAAAATTACATGCATGTATAGAGAACCACTTAGTGTAGACGTTACCATTATTATTAAACAACGCCGAGAGGAAGACGTTGTGTTCTGAGACACATAAGCTGGACGCCCGTCCCGTCGCCGTCTTTAAGAGCTCAAAGCTTAAACTTCGTCTCCTCTGCAGACCAGTTTCTGTTCCATGTTGAACGTTATAAACTTTCGTTGTGACGTGACGCACATGCAGCACGTACTTAAACTTTCCGACAGATGTAATCAGATACAGGCGTTTACATGGTTATTATTCTTCTATTTAACTGGTTATTTACAGGATCACCCACCTCGTTCAATCGGATAGAAATTGTATTCCGAATGGCCTCAATCGGACTAGACTATTCCGATTGAGGTGGATACATGGACGTATTTTATTCTGATTGAGCTATTAGTCAGATTGTTAATGGACTATTACGCTGCATGTAAACGTGGCTAATGATTACAATATTTGAATACTAGCACCTCGAACAGTTAAGTACTCGAGTGCCTGTGCACATCCCTCTTACCAAGCACTATTACATCATAAATAAGCTCACCAGAATGACAAACTAAAATGGTATGTTGATGTGTCAACATGAAAATAGCTTCATTTGACTGAGACAAATATCAGAAATGTCACCTCTGCCAATAAGTTAAGCTAACTACAACTAAGCAAGCAAGATATCTACTTAGCCGAATCAAACACTTTAGAGTGGAATAAAACGTCCAAAAAGACAATTTAATCACTAAACGCAGTTACTATGATGGTTCCGGCTGTCTCTAAAGCAGGTGGAAAAGACCTAGAACTAGAACCCTAAGGTTCCTGTTTGGGTCAATTCTGGTTTTGAATGTGTAGTGGAAAAACACCCATGGATGCCAAACAGGAAACAACCAGACGTATACTAAACTCCATCTTAAATAAGGTTCTTTAGTCCTTCTACTTTAAAAATAAAGTTACTTTAAAGCCAAAGTATTTCTGTTTGTCTACAACAGTAACATCATTTACCTCATAAAAATATATAAAGCACAGCACTGGAAAAGAGGAAGCAAAGACACACTGAAGAAGTAAGAACCAAAACAGAAGCCTTTACCCGATAGAAATGGTGTTTTGGACAATCCATACAATCCCACCAGCAACAGGACCAACAAGATCAGCCGTGTCCTCCTCAACGATTCTACAGAACAACAGACATTTAAACTATAGAACCTGCAACAGCACAGTTTTCACGGCTAATAATACTAATTATAGCGAAATCACCTTGCAAATTGTAAGATGCTTGAAGATTCTCAAATTGATTTCACACTTTACCTTGTGTTCTCTGACTAAGAGCCTGAGCTTTCAAGAAGCCCTCGGCAAAACCAGTCTTGAAAGCATCGTGATGGCCGTCAGGAATGTTTTTGACTTTCAAAAGCTTGTCTAAGGTCTCCACATCTTGCCCTTTGTCCCGTGTAAGAAATCCCTGTCAAGGCAAAAACAGATATTACAAAGATTAAAGGCAAGTGGTATGATAAAAAAAAAGTACACTACTACTAAAAGCACTACAAGAAGGGTGGAAGGGAAAGGAAAATGATTTTTTCCCCACTTATTTTACTTTTTCTTTCCCCTTCTTTATACAAGTGGATTATCTTATATCTCCTCAGAAATATCTCCTGAAAAAAATATTTAAATGGCTGCATTGACTGCAAATTAAACAAATGAAAGGTGGTCTCTGACTTTCACACTGTACTGTATTCCAACTGATAAAAACGTACTTCAAGTACCAAACCACCATATACCACAGATAACTGATGGTAAATGGTATTGGTTAAAGACATCAGCTTTAACACTGGCTGAACTACAAGTAACACATGATTACAGTCCAACCATACCTTCATAAAAGATGGGGTGAATGCATCAGTGTCCACTGAGCGGTCAAAACCACCCTGAAGGCGCCTTGTTTTGGACTTCAAGGTTTTAAATCCTCGATTTTGGACCCATACTGCAAACAGAAATTATAGAAAACTTCTCTATCACTCTACTGAAAAAACTGACACTCATACTCTCACACAGCAATTCTTAAAACTTAATGTTAATGCACTGATGGTTTTGTTGTTTCTTTAAAAGTGAGTGAAAAAAACCTTGTTAAGGTAAGTTTTACCTGGCCAGAACTTTAAATCTGTACACACTGCCTGCAGAGGGGAAGGGCTCTTTCTGCAAAAAACAGGTGAAATACCACCCATCTTAGCAACCGAGAAACCTGGAGAGCACAGAAAGGAAAACTTTCAATCAGTCACAGCTTCATAAGTTAGTTATTAGGTCACATCTGATCAGGCAGAAAGCACTTCATCACAGAAGCAAGCTGGTATTTAATGCAGTGCCGTCTGAGGGATCGAAGGTCACAAGTATTCAGTTATGCAGAGATTTTTCCAGATTCTTTTAGCAGTCTGATAATATTTTTGCACTATAGAGGGTGAAATACCTAAAATCCTTTAAAAAACATTGTTTTTAAGAAGTTGGACTATTTGCTGATGGAGTTTTTATGGCCTTTTCTGGATGCTCCCTTTATGCCCAAGCATGTTTTCTCATTTAACAATGTTTTAGTCTTAAACTGCCCCTCTCTCAACCTTTTTGGAATGTGCTGACAAGGCAAAACATAAAAAAGATCTGTCTTTGTACTGCCTTCATTTAAAGCTGCACTATGTGGGGATTTTGAGACTCTTTGGTGGAAATGTGTAATTGCGCTCTATACACCAATCAGGCATAACATTATGACCACCTCCTTGTTTCTATGCTCATTGTCCATTTTATCAGCTCCACTTACTATATAGGTGCACTTTGTAGTTTTACAGTTACAGACTGTAGTCCATCTGTTTCTCTGCATACTGTTCTTCAGTGGTCAGGACCCCCATGGACCCTCACGGAGCAGGTACTATTTGGGTGGTGGATCATTCTGAGCACTGCAGTAACACTGACATGGTGGTGGTGTGTTAGCATGTGTTGTGCTGGAATGAGCGGATCAGACACAGCAGTGCTGCTGGAGTTTTTAAAAACCTCAGTGTCACTGCTGGCCTGAGAAGAGTCCACCAACCAAAAATATCCAGCCAACAGCGTCCTGTGACCACTGATGAGGGACTAGAGGATGACCAACACAAACTGTGCAGCAGCAGATGAGCTATCGTCTCTGACTTTACAGCTACAAGGTGGACTGACAAGGTAGGAGTGTCTGATAAAATGGACAGTGAGCGTAGAAACAAGGACATAATGTTATGCCTGATCTGTGTATGCAGAACACTACTTTCTGATGTGCTTTGGACCCCTTCCCTGAGCAGATAAATCTGATGATTGAATTCTTTCAACGCACTCACAAAGAGAACATAGTCAAAACTTGGAGAGTAAATTGTCTACTACTGTCATCAAATCTTCATCAGTATAATGCTGATTTTGCATTTGAGACCTAAACATTGAGCCGGACTGTCTATTTTTAACCTACGTGTTTGGCGTTAATACGTAAAGACGTATGATGTAGTCCAAAAAACTCCCGCCCCGACGGCTCTGACATTTAAATTATTATTTTAGGCTTTACACACACACAACGTATTTTAGCCTGTTATTTTTCTACTGACTCAGTAATGCTACTTCTTTCAGTTTTAACAAAAAAATACTGCCGCTTTAAAAACAGGTTAAAGCAGATTTATAAATCATGCTTTCTGATTTTATTTGCTTTTGCATCTGTTCCAGCTTTTTTTGGAATTGGGTTTGTCGTTTGTGTCCACAGTGTTAAATATAATCTTGAACTGTCAAAATCGTTGAATTCATGTCAATATCTACAATACACAAGTCAAACCCAGGCAACATTACATTCAGTGTCTCTGTGTATGTCTCCTCACCATATTTGTTGTGAAAGAAGGAGTCAGTGGAAAGGTAGGAGGCCTTCCAGTGGTTTGATTCTGCTCTAGAGGGTGGTGACAACACCTTCTGCGTCACATACGGCAACAGTCTGTCCACAAGCTCATCCAGTTGACCTACGCCCAGATCTGTCAATCCAAGGTCCCTGAGGTTCCATGAGGGCTGCATGAAGCAAAAGTAGAGGGATCAGAAATTATAATGCAGTTTCTCTCCATGTTGTGATGTATTTATGAAACTTGGTAACTCTCTATGAAACATGGAAGTTCTCTAAAACTAACTGAGCGTGAGCGCAAAACACCACCCCCATTTAGCATAAACTGCATTGGCTACCTGTTTAATTAAGGATTGATTTTAAAGTTCTTCTATTTCTTTTTAAAGCTCTAAAGCACCTGCGTATCTCACAACCTTGAATGCTCTACTGCTTTTTCACAACAGTTCTGCAAAATAAAGAAAAATGTAAAGCAAAGATGCCCTGAACACTGTTGAGCATTCTGCCATCAGACAGGAGATTTCACAGCATTCAGGCTAGAACAACCCAGTTAATGAACAGTTTCTACTCACAGGCTGTCAGGCTTCTGAACAAGCTGTGAAGCTGTGGGTCCTTCCCCAACTACCATTTCACTCAGTCGCTTTGTCAGTATTATTATTATTATAATCAGATTACTGTCATGGACAATAACACTAAGTCACTTTAAATAACAATAACACTGAGTCCCTTAAGTCACTTTAAAATGTATATATTCTTCATAGATTATCCCTTGTTTAATATAAATATATTGTACATAGCAGAGAGGATTTTTTTTGTCCTTACGTAGGTCCCTCCTGTCTCTATTTTTTGTGTATATTTTGTGTATATTTAATTTATTTCAGTTTCAGTATTTTCGGAAAACTTTCAGAAATATGTCTTCGGTCTTCTTCTAAGGGCATGTTCAAACTATTGCTGTTGCTTAGTAACCAGCTGTCAGCCGAACAATACAGGTATGATGAAAAACATGCAACAACACAGGCAAGGCCAGAGCACACGGAACAAACAATCTGCATCAAACACCAACTAACAGTCATCCTTTTTGAAAGTTCAGGAAAATAACTGACTGGCCAAATACATCAGTCTGAATGAGGGAGAGAACATTCAGCATTCTGCCAATGACAGGTACAGCACAATGTTCGTTACCTCTGTGATGTGTGGGTCTTGTTCTTGAGCATTTTCTCTGTGCTGAGGCTTCACTGAGCTGCTGCAGCCCACCGAACCCTTCAAAGAGTGCAGGGCATTGATGAGGTGACTCAGTGGAACTGTTACCTGTAAACAGATGGGACACTAATCATTTTTAGAGCTAAGAAAAGAGTACAAAAATTAATGGTGCCAATATGTGATGTTTAGTGTGGTTTGCGATGAACTAGCAGCAGCAAATGCTACTAAAAAGCAGTGGTGATAGGAACCAGACGTCTGAAGAGTTGAATGCCTCTAATGCATTAATTCATTAACGTTCGAGAGACACATGCAGGACGTCACAAGACAAAATAAAGCACAACAAAAATGGTTTCTCAGCGATGAACCATTTAGTGTCAGACCGCTCTGAATGACTTTACAGCTCAGTGATTGAATTACTAAGAAATTTTGAAAAAAAGGGTAGAATTTCCCTTTAACATTAACTAACCACCCACCACTACTCTCTCAAAAAATAAGAGTGCCAATCTGGAGCTATGCCATAGAAGAACCACATTTGGTTCCCTAAAGAACCTTTAAAAAGACTGGGCCTCGTTCACCAATATCTTCCTAAGTTTTTCTTAAATGTGTTCTTGAGAAAAAGTCCTAAGAGAAAGTCTATTTCAGATTCATGACGTGTTCTTAAACTGTAGAACATTCACTGCAAATACACAGGTTAGCTGTCAACTCCCTAGTTACATAACGCTGCCTTCAAAACTGATGCATGCAAATAAATGTTAGCTTCAGGGCAACAGTGAAAGACTTCCTAGGCATGTTAGAGCAGGTGTCGTTAATGAAAAGATACATTTTCACACTTTTTTTTTTTAATATACACTTGTGAGGTATGTGAGCCCCATGAACTTGAATGTTCGGACTGATATTCCAGCACCAGTTTCACAACCCTAAGTGTACATATGAATTATTTTGTACCGCATAGAGATGAGCAATATGGCAAAATGTTAGGTCACTTCAAAAAGTGTTTTATAATAGAAAACGTTTATTTTTCTAACATCTGGTCAGTTAGAACGGGCAAAGTAAACCTACGTTTTAAAAATACCATCAAAAACTACAAATCCAGTTATTTGTATTCAACATTTCACACACTGAGCTGCAGTAAATCCAATTAGACAGGAGGAATTATGCTCTCTTTGTAATCAAACATGCAGTCGGTGACTTTTAAGCATTGCTGATTTAAGCTTACTGGGACATATTGTGATGATTTTATCACGATAATGATAAACATTGGCATTTCGCCCAGCTCTAGTTCCCTACACTAGCTAAATACCCCATAGTAATAATGAGAAAGGCCAAAATGTCTATAATATAAGGTACCGCTGACTGACTGAAAGCATGAAATTATGTAAATATGGAAATGACTTAAAGGGCTTAAGAGTTAAGCAGCTACACAGCGGCAACGTAACTTGTGGTTTATAACGTTAACAGTTAGTTAGTTACAAAACCTCTCAGAAACGAGGTTATCAGACAGCTAACTAATGTGACTGGTTGGTTAATTACAGATTATAAACTCGTTTTATAAACCATTTACTCTGCTTAAGTACAGATAAGCTACATTAGCATTAGCGTTAGCATTAGCATTAGCCTGCTCAATTATAAACAAGTTACGAAAACAGCTGGTTGGCTAAGGTTAGCATGTCTAAACTGATCCAGTCTGGCGATGACGTTACCTGGGGTTGTACGGTGGACGAAAGAGAAAACATTTCCGATTAAAGGAAGATAAACTCCGCCCGGGACATATAAGTATTTTATCTGTATTAGCTTAAATGAAATGTCCTCAGCGCCGCTAATCCAAACCTGCTAACTAGCACTGCTTCTCCATCAGCAGCGGCAGGGACAAACTGCCGCTACAGCTCCCATAGCAGCGCCACCTAGCGGAGCCTTTCCGTTTAAAGGGGAATTCCACCGAAGTTCTGAATAATTCGGTCCTTAACTTACTCTCCAGGGTATATTTTGTTTTTTCCATCTGAATCTACATGAGCTAATCGTAAGGCAAATTATTCAGTAACTGCATGAAATAAATGTAAATTTTTATTTTTTTTCTATTTTTTTTGTAAAAGCTCCCCACAAATTAACAGAACGTGTGTTTTGTGATCACACATATTGCTATATGCTTACTATTTACTGCTGAAGGCCAAAAATCTTAGACGCTCTTTGTATTATTTTATCAAAATAATTTTTACAGAGCAGATCACTGAAGACACGCCATCTATTTATAGTTTATAGCCCAGATTTGTGGAAAAATGGGTCGACTTTCAGCAGACAAAAAAATTGTGACTTCAGCTTCTTCTATTATAAGGGTTTAAAATTACATTACCCATCTATTTGACTGGAAAGAACACAGTTACAGCTCTCACAAGACACCCACCTTTTGAATGTAGCTTATGAAATATGAAAGTTATGACGAATATGACGAAGTGAATTTTGGAACCACCGGTGGTCTCAAGGAGTTTAAGAGGCTAACATGCAAACAGAATCTTCCAGGGTGGCTAGCCGTGAAATGTTTCATTGTACAGAGACTTACAGACTATAGGAGCCAAGGGTCACAATGTCTACAACACAAATGTAGCTATTTTATTTACTATGCAAAACCACTAGTGAGCTACATGTGTCTTCTGAGTTTCTATATGTAATGTTGATGGTAAAATAGTCATAAATTTGAAAAAAGAAGTTTTCTTTGGGCACTATTTGCCTTACAACGCCCTTCATGTTCCCTTCCACCACAAATGGATTAAAATACATTTCAAGCCAAAACCTTTTCACAAAACTGTTGTCTCAGACATCAGCCAGTGTGTTTGTGACCATTTAATGTAATAACTGTCTCTGAGGGAACTTTTAGAGGTGTTATACTCTTCAAATGTCTGTTTCCTGTCACCACTACTGCAAACAATTCTGATCTGGCAAATGTCTCTAGAGCGGAGCGTTTCACACCAAACTACCCTGAATGACTGTTTACATCTCAACAAATTAATTATGCAGATTTTTTGAAAAATCTGTGGAGTTCCCCTTTAAATACAAGCTACATTCACATGGACATCTGCCCTCCGCTATGTTCTTTATTAAAAGGCCTCTCCGGCCAAAATTCTAAATTGAACTATTCTCAGATAGCATGCAGATGTGGGCCACTTCTGGCTGGCCCATGGTCAGCACTGGCAAATTGCATGTGAGCCAAAAGTGGCCCACATTAAGAAAGCTTTGCCCACATGTGCCGAGAACAGATCTGGGTCACTTCTGACAAAGATTGCGGGTGCTGATATGAGCTATGTGATAATCAACAGGATGTCGGGGCCGCATAGTTTCAATTCAGATCTCAGCTATAAACGGCATGAAAAAACCCAACCCACATTTTGTGACAGTTTGTTATTTGAACAAAGAACAGTGTTGGATTAAAATGTTACATTTTAGTTAGTCCAACACAAACTGTCTCAGTAGTAGGGACACTACTACATATCCCAGTTGGCAGTTTAAACTAAAGCAGGTTTAGTTTAAAATGATTTGTGGCTGCTTAAAATATTGTGTCCATAGAACATGAAATAGTAAGTTAATAGACCAATAAAACTTATCTGATGTTTAATGAATGTAAAGTGTGAAGTCAGCCATGTTACTTTAAATTAATACCAACATCAGTGGTAAACATTTTGGACATGTAGGCTTATAAATAGGAGTGTCTGAGTGGTGCAACAGGTTAAGCATCTGCTCCATCATCAGAAGGTTATAAATTCAAATCTCATCAATGCCACAGCCATCTGCAGCTGGCAGCCAAAGAGGAGAAGCACATGCTAAACTCCATGCAACAGTGGAAGTCCCACCCAACAGGCAAGCTGTTGTAAGGGCTTGTATTTTTGTACTAGTGGTTTTGAGGGGTGGGTCAGTTGTGGTTTAAAGGTGCCTGAGATGCGGCCCTCTAGTGGCAGTAAACAGACTAGGTTTTGGCCACTGCGTCTGGCCTTCTCCTGTGCCATTGTTCCATGCGGTGTGTGGGCTGCAAGTAAACGCCGGATGTGGCCCAGGTTTGGTTCATACCAAATTTGCTATCTGGGTTACTACATCTGTTGTAAATATGACTATTAGTCTTCTACAGTGGTGCAGCAGTAACCTCTAGCATGAGACCTTCTGGTTTAAAGACTGTCTAAGCAAAAGCAAGAAGGTAAATAGGTAGGTAAAAAGGTAGACTAAAAAAATATGTTTTTAAGGGTTCTTGAGTAAAGACAATGGTTCTATATAGAACAATGAACACCCAAAGACCCATTTGCATGCTTAAAGTGTTTTTTTCCATAGTGAATTTGTACTTCAGATTGATGGAGAATATGTTTCATATGGTTCCATATAGAACCTTTTTGAAAATTGTTCTATATAGCACCAAGAAGGGTTCTGCTATTGTTACCATTGACATTGTAACAGTAGCAGAACCCTTTCTTGTGCAACATAGAACCATTTACAACACATTCTCCATCAATCTGAAAAACCATTTCACTGTGCAAATCTATATAGAACCACGAACACTCAAATGGTTCTTTCAGTGTTCATGGTTCTATATCGAACCATTGTCTTTACTAAAGAACCTTTAAAGAACCATCTTTTTAAGAATGTAAGTAAGGAAGTCAACTGATGGTTCTGCTAGGAAGCTGAATATCACATCTTCACTTATTAACTTCTATATCAGTGAATTTCTTTATTTATTTATTCTTAATGTTGGAGGACCTTCCCTATGGCTGAATGATGTATTTGCATAATGCATGCTGGGTATTGTAGTGAAACACTGATGGACAAAAACACAAAAAGTGTACAAAATCCTGAACTCTGTCAGACTGATGAGGCTGAAAGATGCAACGCTGCACTCCAGAATATTACATTACTTATTAAATATAAGGTAAGCCGAACTTAATTATATGCAAGTAGTAAACATACTGCATGCCCACACTTTTAAAGGCCACTTTTAAATTTGAATAAACAATTATGTAATTATGTACATTTTTCTACAAAGATACAAACATTGCAAGAAATTCTCTCTTACAATGTCATATGTATTAATGGTACCTTGCTTGTGTTTTTGTTTCTGCATTTTACTTAGCCACTGATGAAATACATTTAATACAAGAAAATTTCTGGCACTTCCAAATAAAATAAATTTTGAGAGGTTTTTAGGCTTAAACTCAAAATGTCTAAGTGGTTGATAACTGTGGTTCATGCCATTTTAAATCTGACAAGTATTAAAAAACTTTATTGACTAGTTTTGCATAATTATAAATAGGTATTGTTTGAAATTAGTAAAAGTAATGAAGTCACTTTGTTTTAAAACGTCACTGTTATTTGTAAAGTCAGACAGTCTTATCCTACTTATTATAAGATGAAGTTCATATCATACTATTGTAATCAGGTGCTTGTTTTAAAAAGCTTGAAATCAACTATTTATAGGATTAGAACTATTAAGAACTAGAATTATTTTACTTATTTTTCCTTATTATTGTTATTATTATTATTATTATTATTATTATTAATAATAATTATTTCCTTGTTTTATTTTTCCCCTCTATGTTTACCATTTGGGTGGGTTTATATACCAGAAATAGTCATAATTCATTTCTACGTGACCATTTTCCAACCTGTCTTTTTCCTTTAGAATTTAAAAGGCTGTTCTGTTACTGTGCTTTTAAGGCCGATATGTATGTAAAAGAGCTCTGTTCTGATTGGGTGCCATGTATTTACCCCAATTCATAAAGGATTCCAGGCTGAAACACTCCTCACAACATCACCTGTAGTGGGTGGAGCTAAACCGCTGTAATCTGAATAGGTGGATATATGAAAGGCTTCGTTCCAAATCACATTAATGGTCACGTTCATTATTTTTTTTTCTCCATTATATATTTCGTTGGGAGATGGCTTATGAGCCTATCCCAGCAGTCACTGGGCGGAAGGCAGGAAACACCCTGGGCAGGTCGCCAGTCCATCGCAGGGCAGACAGACACACACACACACACTCAGACCTAGGGGCAATTTAGCATCTCCAATCCGCCTGACTGAATGTCTTTGGACTGTGGAAGGAAACCGGAGCCATACAAGAAAAAGCAATGCTATTTTTTATTATTTCCACTTTTATTAGAGAAATAAAAGATCTTTTTTTTGACAAAGTGTGTAAATACATCAGCTGTTAATAACAGTCTGTTATTCTTTTCAGACCGCTTCCTGTCCATTTTACAGCATTTGGGTATGAAACCCTTCATATGTAAATGTGTTGGTTTTGGTGACATCACAACAACAATAAATTCAAAACAGGCTGTTTGTGCAGCATAAATGGACTGTTTGAACTGTGAGGAGTGAAATGTACAAAAATATAAAAATAAGAATGAGAAATGCGTTTGCCCATGGAACGAGGCCCTACACTCTCAAAAAAAGATGGTTCTTCAAAGGTTCTTTAGTAAAGACAATGGTTCTATATAGCACCATGAATGCATTGATTAATGGGTTCTTTGCATCGTAAAAAGGTTCTTCAGATTGATGGAGAACGTGCTGTAGATGGTTCTATATGGAAACGTTTTGAAAAGGGTTCTATATAGCACCAAAAAGGGTTCTTCTATTATTACGATGTCAAGTCTGTAACAAAAGAAGAACCCTTTTTGGTGTTATGTAGAACCCTTTTCTATCTAGAACCATAGACAACATATTTTTTCATCAGTCTGAAGAACCTTTATTCATGCAAAGGGTTCTTTAAGTGTTCACATGGGACCATTTTCTTTACTAAAGAACCCTTGAAGAACCATCTTTTGTAAGAGTGCATATTAATATCAAACTAGTCTAATGCTGTTATTCATGGCACGGCCACTTTAAATCCCGGTGTGACGTCACGCTCTCGTTCTCGGGTCCTCCTCTCGGGTTCTCTCATGGCGCCTCGCGCTGCGTGACTCGCGACCCGTTCCGCGCGGAGCGGCGCTTCGGTTCAGCTCCGTCTCCGGTGAAACGGCGCAGAGCCGCGGGGCCGCAGAGCGGGAGGTGAGTGCAGCCGCGACCGGCAGAGACTGGGCGGAGCCGCGCGGTGTGGCCCCGCTGTTTACACAGACACGCGCGCGCACACACACGAGACGTGGAATGTGTCTCATTCAATTATTTATTTATTTATTTATGGGAGATACAGATGTTTGTATGGAAGCCCGTTCCCGCTTTTACAGGAGAGAATAATGGAAAATAAATGTCCTTTTTCCTTCCCTGATTCCGGCAGCAGGCTGTCAAACATTTTGTGGCTATATAATTTATTTTCTCAAGATTTTGACTTAGTATTTTAAAATAATGACTGGTTTTCAATTTTTGCTTTATCTGGAAATAATGACTTATAATCCTGAACATTACTTTCTTAAAATGTAAGCCATTACCCCGACATATTAACTTACCATCTCAAAATAATGACTTACTATGTTGAAATAATGACTTATTTTCTCGAAATTTAGACTTAATGTCTTGAAACAATGAAACAATTTCTTAATACTATGACTTATATCTCAAAATAATGACTTATTTTCTCTAAAGTTTGACTTAGTGTATTTTAAAACTCTTGACTTTTCTCAAAGTAATGACATTTTCTCAAAATTTTGACTTGGTATCTCAAGATTGTGCCTTATTTTCTCAAAATTGATTTATCACTAAAGGTTGACTTACTTTATTAAAATTTAGTAGATCATTCTTTTGAGATAGTAAGTCAAAATAATGATTTGAAATAATGACAAAATTTTGACTGTCTTAAAACAATGACTTATCTTCCTAATACTATGACTTTTCTCAAAATAATGATTCGTTTTCTCTAAATCTTGACTTACTATCTCAAAACTCTGACTTTTCTCAAAATAACAATTTGTTTCCTCCAAATTTTGATTTGGTACCTCAAAACTCTGACTTTTCTCGAAATAATGACTCGTTTTCTCTAAATCTTGACTTAGTATCTCAAAACTCTGACTTTTCTCAAAATAATGACATATTTTCTCGAGATTTTGACTTAGTATCTCAAAATTTATTTTCTCCAACTTGACTTCTGCCAAATAATTATTTACTTTATTGAAATATAATGATTTTTTTAATATTAAGACAAAATGCTGAGAAAATACCTCTTTTGGCACAGTAAGACATTATTTAGAGATACTGAGCCAAAAATGTCGAGCTGCGTTATTTCGAGAAACTAGTTCAAAAATTTGTGAAAACAGTTTTTGAGGTGCGAACTACAACCAGAAACAAAACAAATCTCCTAACTAAGGTAGCAACTTCACCTGGTGTGAATGGGGCTTCCATACAGCTTTGACCGCTTCGCTCCTCCAGGTTGTGGCTGTTAGGTGTCTGTGGTGGTCTTCCTCTCAGGGGGCTGCGTTAGTCCAGCAGGGGCGGCGGGGCTTCCGTTCAGTTCTGTGTCTGGAGCTCGAACTGAAGCAGCTCTGTTTTCAGGCGTTTCTCACAGAGAAGAAACTCATCGCCTCACACAGCAAGTTGGACACCCATCTGTTGAGTGTCGTTTAAGTTCAGTTCGGGACTTTTCCATGGTTTGTTTGCGATATAGTCGGGGTTAAAATGGACATTTCGAGCGACCTTAGCGGCTTTAATGTTTTCCCAAAATTTTGTTTCGTTGTTGTTGTTTTTGCGAAGTAACGTTAACGTTGCAGCAGCGTTAGCTTAGCTCACAACTTTGGAGCTACTGTTAGCTAGGTTAGTTAGCCTTTCAGCCACCAGAACTGTGTAGATAACCAGCTAATATAGATATAAATATAGATAATTATAGGTGTACATATGTATAACCTACATTTATGAGTGTAGCTGTAGTCATATGTGTGGATAAACAGTGTTTCTGTGTGGGGTAGCTAGGCCAGCCGCAGACAGCCGTTGTATACACCGCTTTTGTCAGCCTTCAACTAACGTTAACTGGGTGTTTGTGAATATTGTTTGTTAAACAGGCATTTAAAGCGTGTTTGTCTGTCAGTTTGCGATACCAGCATATAAAAGAAGGCATTTGGACTAAAATTAAGATATTAAGCTAAGCTTATCGAGTTCGGAGGTGTTAACGTTACTTGGCTAGGTAAAGCTTAGCCGGGTTAGTTAGCATTAGCTGCCGTGCCGCACAGAGACAAAACAGCAGCTGAGGTTTAGGGAACTCGCTGGTTGAGGGAGGATCTTTTTAATTATCTCCTTTTTGTTGTTTTTAGCTCGTCGTAATCGGCCCAGATGTAACTCGGCCACAAACTGGGGTAGATTTCGACGTTGTTTTGAGAGCTAGCTTGCTTGCTTGAGCTAGCAGAGTGTTTTCTTCCCTTCGGAGTTGTTCGTAAATGACCACCGGCAGGAATAACCGAGTCATGATGGAAGGAGTGGGAGCCAGAGTTATCCGCGGACCGGACTGGAAGTGGGGGAAGCAGGACGGAGGAGAGGGCCATGTGGGCACCGTGAGGAGTTTTCGAAAGCCCCGAAGAGGTGGTGGTGGTGTGGGACAACGGCACCGCCGCAAATTACCGCTGCTCCGGGGCTTACGACGTGAGGATCCTCGACAGTGCGCCCACAGGTGAGGAACCCTCCCAGGCTATGCTGATGCAGGAGCTCAGGTTTGGGAGAACATCACTGCTGAAAAAACACCATTGGAACCATTGTAATTAAAACCTGATGGTGTTGCTTTCTAATGTGAATTGGCTGAATGCTTACCATTAGACACCACTAGTAGATCCCTTTAGGAAACCATCAAATGCATCTGGAATCAGTCGCAGAACACATGTTAAACCATTAGAGTCCTTTACACTGTGATATCAACCCATCAGGAAAACACAAAATATCATGAGTGACTACTGGACACCACCAGGAACCAGCAGAATCTTTTAATGATTTCTTTGAATTTTTTTCAGAAGGGATGGACTTTAAAAACACTCTCGGGTCTGGGATTTAAAATCGCTCATTCTCAGAGCTGGGAAAGGTGTGGAAATTTAGAAAATCATTTAGTTAGGCTCAGATCTGAAGTTTGAAAGGGTTTGCAATAAGTTTGGGATTTAAAAGGGAATTCTGTTGATTTTCCATAATGTCTGCATGATTCTGTGGTCGAGATGGCTGAATCATTCAGAGTGGTTTGGTGTGAAATGGTTCATTGTAGAGAAACTTATCGACTCTCTGTTGATGGTAGCTTACTATCCTAAACTGCCGGTGAACCTACATGTGTCTTGAGTTTTTATATGTAATGTTGATGATGGTAAAATAGTGGAAAATCTGAAAAGGTATGTTTTATTTGAGCAAAGTGTGCTTTTAAAAAGGTTTTGGGGGTAAAAGTTAGGTCTTTGGACAATTTGAGTTTAAAATGCGGGAAACGTTTTCGGTTGGGGAGGGTGGAAGTTCTGAACTTTGGAAGTAAAAGTACAGGAATTTAGTTGTTTTTTCAGTTATGGATATTTTGCTGTAAATGAATACGTCTGTTTCAGTGGTGGAAAAATCCCATCTGTAGATATTCTCTCATTCTTTCCTTTGCCTCAGTCTCCACATTCCACAAAACATTTCATGTTTTCTTTGCCACAGTGAAATGAATAGCTTTTTAAAAATAGCAAGAATACTTAATGTCTGGAAAGTTAGAGAAGCAGTCGAGAAAAATACTGAAATTCTTCATGAGGGAGAGGCTGGAACTGTCTGCCGATCTACTGCCAGGGTCAAAATACACTAAACAAATTTGTAAAAGCTCCAGTGAGTTTCTTTCTGATGATAAATGCACAAACACTGGTTTTTAGATAACTGTTTTAAGTCACGTGTGTTTTGTCGTAACAGTCTCGTACCTTCGTCTTGCAGGTATCAAGCATGACGGCACCATGTGCGACACCTGTCGGCAGCAGCCGATCATCGGCATTCGCTGGAAGTGTGCGGAGTGCACCAACTATGACCTGTGCACCACCTGTTACCATGGCGACAAACACCATCTGCGGCACAGGTTCTACCGTATTACTACACCGGGCAGTGAAAGGTGAGGATGGCTCTAAGCAATTCATTAATCAGTTATTCAGTCTGAATGAGCTGAGCGCTCTATATAAACATGCAGCCGGATGCCTTGGCGGTTGAAAGGTGCTGATGCTGAGAATTTTTTTTCTGGCATTTTTGTGGCTGGTCTATGTTAGTTTCTTGGTCCAAACGTGCATTTATAGGTGATGGGTTTTTGTTGCCAGGCAACAGGGTAGCCACTCCTACGCTTTCTGTTGTGAGGTGGGTGTACCAGCCTTTGCAGAATATATGGAATTTGTGTCATCAGTTACAGTCTGCCTCAATGTCGTTGACATTGTCTAACTCTCTGGAGGGAATCAGAAAACCAGGAATGGTTTAAAAATTTGTATTGAGTTGCTCAAGGCTCATAGACTGCAGGCTGTACAGTGGGGTAGGCAATAAGACAGAAATATAGTATGATTTTTAAAATATTATATTTTTAGGATTCAGAATATGAGGAGTTTTATTTTCAAATGTTATCTTGAATATTCTGTAAGGAAATTTCAAGTAAATAAAGCATCATACATTCATTACAGCATGTAAACGCTAAATAAAAACTGCGTGTTTAGTGCCCCGATCTAACATGCTCACCAGAAGCTAATGTTAGCCTTGAGCTAACGCACTGCTTTTGAAAAACATTTAAGATGTGATACGTCACAATATAGTACAGTGCATTGTATTGTTACCCCTGGGTTTTGTTTTATCTGTACTCTCTGAAAATGCCTGCAGGCTTGGACACCTGTTGTAATACCGTTTATTCCATACTGGTTGTGTTACATGTTAGTGTGACCTGCAGGCCGGAGTAGATTGGGTGATACTTCAGACTGTCAGGCTCGACTCAAGTGCATTTTGCTTGAGGAAGGAGCACAGTCCTCTGCTTCCATGAAAAGCTCTTTGCATGATTACGCAGGGCTGACACAGAAGGGGCACCGAAGTTAAAACTTTCAGTGCAGCAGTTTTATCATATGTATTTTTATTTTATTTACTACACATATGTTTTAATTTTAGCATGGAATTACTTCTGAAAGGCAGTTTTAGATGGGTGGACCTGTTTTGTTTAACTCTGTTAAATGTGTTTTTTTGTTTTTGTTAAGATATATATTGTCACTGTTCTCGAAATATTGTCTCTCCGCTCGCCCCCATTATTTAAAATGCCAGCTGCCGTTTGCGTTGTGTGAATATTTTCATGATAAATGGGCCAATAGAAATGTTCCATTTCTAAAATTTGGAGCCAGAGCAGGTTACAGAGCCCTCACTGGTATTTTCGAGGAGCTTGACCCAGGAACTTTAGCTCCAGTGGAATCTGAGGTACAGAGCTTTTCCTGAATACATTGGGACACTAGTCACTTGGCAGGGAGAGAAAGGAGCACCGCCAGATTCCACCTGGGATGACCTCTGAGCCCTCTCTTTCAAACAAGTCTGGTCTGGACTTGCTAGCTGTTGGGGTTCAGGAGATCCAGACAGTGTCATTCCCAGTATTATTTACATGGAATAAAAACTCTTTACATTAACATTCATTTGGTTTGTGCCTAGTCATGGTTAACAGAGTTTCTTACAGCCTCCAGGGGCTGTAAAAACTCACTCACTGCCGTTTAAAAAAGCATCATTCGTTTATTGATTTCATGCAAACCATACGTTCTTACACATGAACATACTTGAACTTTTAAACATGTTGACTGAATTGATATCCTATGTCAATACCACATTAACATAACAGATGAAACTCTTCTGTAAACGCAGCATTTGAGTTGCGCTAGTTAAACACGCTCGTGCCTGTACCAAATTCTGCCCAGATGGTAGGGTGTACATTTTAGGACATCCTCAGACTGCAGTGTCAGGTTATTCGGTTAGTAAAATCATGTCTCAGCTCTCGTACGTCAGGCAGGTAGTTTTCAATAGCCCAGATGTAGTGACTTGCACCAGGATGTGATAGTGAGCAAAGCATCAGGCTAAGCTAAGCGACCTCAAGGAATAAAGTTTGTGTGACACTTGCAATTCCATTCTTTTGTACTAGATTCATTAGTTTTGTGGGCAAATTAAAATGTACTACAGTCACAACTTTTACTGAACTGCTCTTTTATTACATTATTTTAATTAAGTTTCAACTCGTATCCTATTGCTGTGTTTGCTCTGTTGTCCATTTTAGAGTTAGGAACAGTGTCAAACTTACCAGATGAAAAGTATTGCTATTGTTATTCAGTTATTTGTTTGTTATGTTATTATTATTATTATTATTATTATTGTTATTACGCATTGAAAACCTTTACTGTGGCTGTGGTTATTTTCCACACAGTTACCCAAATAGGAGGACAACTTAAATTACTATTTCTGAGATGCAAGATGTACGTTTGTTTTTGTCTTCATTTCTTTCTAATTTATTTTTTGGGCACATTCATCCTTTTATTGCGTTTAGTAAAGTCTCCTTGACTTTCTCCATATGGTGACTCTATTATCTTAAGAAAAGGCCAGCAGTTGGTTAGACCTCACTTGCGGCTGCCGTCCATAACTGCCCTTAACACGAGGCAGGAAACAAAAGGTTAGTTCAGCAGCTGGTCTCTTTTCAGATAAGTGTAACTCCCTTTCCCTGGGGAGAGTTGATAGATATTGCATTACGACATTGCTGGGGGGGCCTTCTTTTGCTGCAAAGGTATTGCTGGGTGTTTCCTCCTTCTTCCAAAGCCAAGTCAAACTCTGCTTGCCAGCTGCTAAGTCTGCTCTTTTGGGCTGTGCAGCAGTAAGACTGTCTGTTGTTTACACGTTACAGACAGGATCAAAAGCTCAGTGTCTTCAGAGTGATCAGTGTTGGCCTGAATAGCCAGAATTCGACTGAAAAGCCCAGGATGTGGTTAAGGATGAGCTCAGCTGACTCTTTGAAGATGAAAAAGCCTTGAAAAGTTTGTTGTAGAGGCAGTCACGACTTATTTTAATCACAGTTGTTTTAAAACAATACCCGCAATAAAAATAGACTGAATTAAACAATACAAAACTATGCATTGCCTTTCACATATTCGTAATTACATCACTGTGAGAAGATAAAGAGGACACATTTAAAAATTAAAAAGGATTTATATTAATTTCATTTAGCAGAAAATTGATGACCAGTGGAAATCCATCCGACTCTGTTTCTTACCGTAAGAGTGCAGTAGGAGAGTTTATGCATTATGGTCATTGTGCAGTAATAAACATTGCCAAGTTGTCAAGAAAGTACATTTTAATGTTTTTTTTAACCGAGTAATTGTTTGCTTGAGTAATCATGAGTCCCGGTTTGATGTTCTTCCAAGATACTGTCTCAACGACGACGGTAGTTCGTATGCACTACATCAACTTAAATTCTTCATGCTAAATTGTTAAACAGGGAGTTGTGCTGCAGCTGCAAGAAATCTATAATCAAGTCAAGACTTGTTTAGCGGGAGAAGAGACTACGGAAGCTTTAAGGATTAGTTTACTGAGAAGCTTTTTTTTGTGGCTTGTAGCTTTCACATTCTGCTTTGCTTTGAGAGTCCCTGATATCTGACAGGTGATTTTTTTTTTTCACAATATCGTTCTTCTGTGAATTTGTACAGATGATCAGATACGGATCCATGTGTCCCTTATTTTAAGATGTTGACTGGCAGAGCTCATAGAAGACTTCATAAGCATGGCTGATGTTCAGGCCTGTTGTAGTCCCTGTTAACAGCTCTACCATGTTCATATGAATGTTTTTGTTTTACAATAAATAGGGATGCCTGTAGAGTTGGGCAATATGACTATATTTTATTGTTTTATCAACAGTTATTATAATAAAGAGTATGCTTTTCTGAGCATATTGTGGATAAAATCTGTATTTAAACATTGAGCAGCTGCATGTTGAAGAGTGCATAATACTAATGGGAACAGCTAAATGAAATCATTGTTCCTACAATTTTTGATTGCAGTATTTAAGTGAGTGTAGCGTGTTACATATTATGTATTGTGAAAATGTCTAAGTATCATGATATATTTTTGCCATATTGCCCATCCCTAGTTGGTATCAGCAGATAATTGCGCTAAAAAATTAATGGACCGATGTTTAGATTTGGCCAGTATTTCAAACCGATATTTATCATATTTATTGTACTCTGGAAGAGCCGAACGTTTAGGCGATGATGGTCTACTGTGCTGTTTCTGCATTTTATTCATTTTACTGAGTTTATTTAGTTTGTTTTACTGCATTTATAACTGTACAGTACTAAATGTAATGTTCTTCTGTAAAAATAATCCATGTACATTTAGTCCCAGTTTTGACAAAGCTTTATGTTTCGGCATCAGCAAAAGCCTATCTGAGATTTTTGTGTCGGCCCACAATTTCCATACTGTGGGGCAAAGTCTTGGTAAATCGTTGAACTTGGATGGATAGTTGAACCAGAGCTGTTCTAGCTGTTCTTCATTTTTCCCTTTAATAAATCTAGCCTGTCTTGCACAAAATGTCTTGTGTATTTAAACAGCTTATTTTTGTATCTATGTTTATTTTAAATATGGGCCAATTATGATAAACAATAAATTTACACCCTGGCCAATATTAATACGAATAACTGATTATTTATGCATTTAAACCATATCACTACAAGCCACTTATAAAGTGCACTGAATTTGAGTTAAAAGTGTGAAGTTGGCTTATTATTTATTTTTCAAATAGCCATGATTAATTATTGCCTTTAATTGCAATGTTGGGCCAAGAACAATCCAGTTTTCCCATTCACCAGTGAGTAATGTTTAGACCTTCTATATATTGTGCATCTCAGTTTATTTTTTTAATGCTTTGATTGACTTTGACTTTGAATTGGGCCTACATGTGATGAATATACAATACGATGTAAGAAACTGATTCTGTAAGCAAATACAAAACTATAAAAGTACTTTTCATTTCCAATACAATTGCAAGCATATTTTTCATGCAAATCAGTCAGCATTACCAGAAGACCTTTTTCTACATAGGCCTGCAAAATTAATTATTATATATGCTTTCCTTCCTATATAGGTCAGCAAAAAATGAATACACGTTTATTTTAGTTAAAAGATTCTCATGGTGATGCAGGTTTGTTGTGACAAAGCTTCACACTTTTTAAATACAACTGGGAGTGAGAATTTGTCATCACATAGAAGTATTATTACAGCCTGGCCTGGTTGTGCTGAACTTTGAGATTGGCTCTATAATAGAGTGGTTAAGTCACTAGCTCTGCATACAGGAAGCACACCACTGCTCTAATATTAGACATGGCTCCTAACGCTACATTGCTTCCAGTCTATTGATTTCACTTTGGCGTCATTTAATTTGATGCATGTCATTGCATCCCTTAACAATGTGTTCATCACGGAAACTCCTATCACAGTAATGATAAATATGATTAATCATGCAGCCCTGCTTTTAATTATTGGCTATTTAGGAAATTCTTGGTTTATCCTTCAGTAAACACAAAATGTGGAGGGCCATAAGCCAAATAAAACTCCAGTTGCAATGCATTTTTGTACCTCAGAGCCAAGTTGTTGATGTGCTTCAAGCTGCATCATATTTATTTGTTGTAAGTTAAATGTTTGTTGTAAGTTAAATGTCGTAAGGGAAGGACTTGATTCAGTGACTCTAGGTTATACTCTGCCTTGTGTCGAAAAAACTTCGGAGTGAGTCACAGAATTACTGGAGAAAAATGAACGCCCATAGCAGTAAAGCTTGGAGGATCAGAGAAGGCCATCTGGCAAACTTGCTTCCCTGACTGTTGTGGTTCTGCATGGGGTGATATCCAGATGGTAGACTAGCATGCTGAGGGCTCTGTTTTTAGTGCTGGGAATCCAACACAGAAACATTAAGAGAAAATCAAAACATATTGTTAAGGATTTATGCTCCGAGTTTAATGGTGTTTTTTTAAGTGTCTTGTGAGTAAATTATTTTAACTGTAAATTATTGTAACGTTTTATAACTCTCTAATGTTTGTATGTGATTTGTATGTTTGTTGTTGCTGCTTTTTCTTCAGGATTAATAAAGTCAATAAATAAGGGCCTTTGATACATTTCCTCTCATAGCTTGGGCAACTTTCTAATACATGTTAAGTCAAAACTGCATGTCAGTAGTGTGACTTCTAGTTTTGCTTTATTTAACAGCCAGATAGAGACACTGCATTCTGGAAAAGAATTGGGGAAGGAAGGGGGACTTAATATAGACATTCTTTTTTGTCTGTGCCCCTTTGAGACACTTTCAGTTGTTTTTCTTGTGATTTTTATGGCATCGTTTAATAGTGTGTTCTCATATGTTTGTTTAGGGTGCTTTTGGAGTCTCGACGCAAATCAAAGAAGATCACAGCCCGCGGCATCTTTGCTGGAGGCCGAGTGGTGCGGGGAGTGGACTGGCAGTGGGAGGACCAGGATGGGGGCAACGGCAGGAGAGGAAAGGTAAATAAAGTTGTACTTGAAGTTCTTAAATCTTGTACAGTTATCAGATTACATGTTTTGTTGATTTCTTAAGTGAAAATATGTCAACACATTCTCTATGGGAACTCACTTAAAACTGGCTTTTTCACACAGTGCACAATTTTAGTTGTGCTGAGTTTAACATATTGGGGCAGGGAATAAAACATAAAATACAAAATGTGCTGTAGCTTTTGCACAGGTCAAATTTTGTGTTTTATTTTTCTCCCCAATATGTGAAATTCAGTAAATAAAAAGTAATTGTGCATTAAAATGTGCATCAGTTTCTTTTCTGTAGAGGATGTGTTTACAACAAAAACATGTAAATTAACCAGGGGTGCCCAAACATCTGCATAACTCTATGTATCTTTTCTTTAGGGCTACAATAATTCACAAATTGATTCGATGCGGACTCGATTTAGTATACTTTCAGTTTATTGGAGCATTCAGCTCTATAAAAGTACAGTATTTAAGACTTCAGAGTGGCACAGATCCGTTCAGACTGGTTTCTTAGCAGCACAGGAACAGTAAATAATTTTTTTTCTCTATAATGTGATAGCTACAAGCTAATATATTAGCCCTGAAACAATGTGATACATTGCAATGCAGCACAATACATTGTGTTGGTACACCCATACTTTTCATTTCCTAGAAAAACAGTAAGTCTCTCTTGCAGGGAATCGTGTAAGTTCTGTAGCTTCATGTGCATTTGTGCGTTTTCAGCTTAAACCGCTGTAAAACTGCTGTTTGATCACCATCCTGCATGTTGTTCTACGGGCCATTAAACCCAACAGTCCCTGCTGGTGAATTTAGAGGCCAGCATGCAACATTACAAGCTGACTCACTGTTTGCTGTTATAAATAATGCTGAGAGGTTTGCTGCAGCAAATTTATGCGTGACACCAGAAATGATCCAAAACACCACTTGATGCCAGACAGTTTTTCATAGTAAATAAACATTGCTTCTCTTCCAAGTGTGGCTTTCTTGTCAAAACATAATTAACTTGTTTGTTTCAAAGGTGCCTGTATTTCACATTAATTATTACTAATCGTTACCAAATGATTATTTAGCTATGACAAGTATACAAATTCAAATTGAGACGTTATTCAGTCTGTACTGTAGCTAATAAAATTGAAAGAAAAATTAGTGCTGACATATTCATCTGCTGTCATTCCCTTGCATAACTTACGTATGCTCTGATGATGATTGTGTTTGTGTCTGTACTGTGCTAAATAAAATTAGTGCTAGAAATAAATTACCTGAAAGTCGCGGTATTCGACTTTTAGCTCCTTAAAACACAGAGGGGAAAAAGGCCTCAGAAACAGTTAAATGTATTCATAAATGTAATCAAGATTACTGTAGATCCTGTAGATCTAGAGTCAGGTTTAAAAATGTTGTGAAATGTCAAAGTGTTTTTTTTTATTATTATTATTATTATTATTATTATTATTATTTTTATTTATTTTTTTTTACTTTTAGAGGTATTAAATTCTAAGGTAGTGCTGAAAGACTGTTGAAGAAAGTCATGATTTGTATTAAACTGCATTAGAACAGTATACCAAACAAAAGTATCCAGTGGTCCTGTGGTCAGAAACTGACCATTGATGAAGAGCTAGAGGATGGCAGAACTGATAACAAAGTAAAATACGCTGAAAAGACAGATAGCTGCTAGTGAACCTGGAGAGGGAATGTGAGAAGAGGGCTGCTGTCCTGTAAATACTTATATCTTTAAGCAGGTGTCAGAGTTTGGTGTTGAGTGAGTCTATCTGAAATTAATCAAATGCCACATTTCCGTTTGTGTACATTTCTTACGTTGGAAATGTTATTGTTTTTCCCTGTTAAGGTCTTTAAAGTTTTAGTAAAGCTTTGAATTTAATTTTTAAAAAGGTTTGCGGACCCCTGGTAATAAATCAGTCTAAATGAGTATCACTGTTGCTCTAATAAAACAGCCAGCATGTCCATCGCTTGACCCTCTGATATTGCCATGGCAGCATACTTGTGCTCCTCTGTAGATAAAATGTTGTATGAGAAGCTGCTGCAAACAGTGATATCTCAATCTAAGAATATTCACTGCCAAGAATTATGTACATTTCTCTACTGAAATAGAAAGCACATTGAATCTGTACCAGTGTTTCCCTACAGAAAGGCTGTACTTGGTTGTAGGGCTGAATGATTTTGGGGAAAATATCAGTTTACATTTACAGCATTTAGCAGACGCTCTTATCCAGAGCGACTTACAAAAAGTGCTTTGTTGTCAACTCAGAGAAAGTATCTTTGTTACAGATATATCTATCTATCTAAATATATATATATATACATATAGTATGATTATTTGATACCTACAGAAAAGGAACAGAATTAAACACAGCACAGTGCAGTATAATGTTTCAATAAGTACTTAAGTAAATTAGTGCTCACTTAAGCGCTGTAAAAAGAGTGTCTTCAGTCTACGAGAGAGTCTGCTGTTCGGACTGCAACTGCGATTAGTCTGACCAATATTGTGACTGCAATTCCAGGCCTCTTTTTGTAGCCAAGAAAACCAGAATATCCACTTTTTTTGCTTTGGGCTTGAACACTGAATGTAATGAGTCAGACTGCCAGTTAATAGTGGTTGTGGTGTCAGCACATGGATATTTCGTTGTTTCTCATTGCACAAACTCATGCAGGTAGTTTGCCAGCTCTGTGTTATTAAATTTCGCCATTTAGAACTTAAGATAACATTGTTAATGTAGGCTATAATTAAAAAAAGTCAGTCCTTGCTATTTGAAAATTGCAGTCTTTCAAATTTTCCAATGTTGTTATAAAAAGAATAATATTTCAGCCCTACTTAGGTGGACTCCCAGATATACTGACAACCACCAAAGTGTATTTTGACCCTTTCCAGCAATTTCCAATTGCTGTTTTGTCCCAATATAATAATATACATATTCCATATTGTTCATTACACTTCATGTAGCATGAGATGCAGTACCAGCTGCTTGCGTTTCTACATTTCTGTGGTTTAGTACTCAAACTTACACTGCAAAATTACAATGCACTGTTTATTTATTTATTTATTTTATTCCAGACCATATGTTGGTTAATGGAGAAAATAAAAGCAGAAATGAGATTGTATATCCATATTAGCTGCAATACCTCCCTCCTTCTGCCAATACTCCACCCAGGTGTATTTCAGACCTGTGGGAAACGCTATATAATTGCATCCTTACTTATTTTTTTAGATTAAATTGTTAAGTTGTTAATGCTTAAATGTTGTTTCTAACATTTCATGAAATGTACCCATTTGTGTGGTTAATATCTCTGAATTTCAGACTGCGAAAGTTATTCAGCCTATGAGCAAAATACATCGTCCCGCTCACTTCTCTTCCTTTTCTTTTCTCCCTCAGGTGACGGAGATTCAGGACTGGAGTGCAGCCAGCCCCCACAGTGCAGCCTACGTCCTCTGGGACAACGGGGCCAAGAACCTTTACCGAGTCGGCTTTGAGGGCATGGTGAGCCACCCCCACAACGCCTACACAAAAAAGGAGGAGTTAGCTGGCCTTTGTGTTCTTCTCCACTGCGTACACACACACACACACACACACACAAATACACACACGCAGAGAAGCCCCTGTTCTTGGGCTGAGGCCCATTTGTGAAACCCAAGCAGCCGGCATGTGCAAGGCCCCCATTGTTCAGGCAGCTGGAAGCACCATCTACATGATAAAGGAAATCTGCTGCCTTTTTCTTTCTCTAAGAGGACGACAGAGTGGACTTGGAGGTCAAAGGAAAAAGAGGGGAGGGAGAGTGGCCTGGGGAACGTGTGCCTGTTTTTCTTGAAAATGTGTTTCTGCATGCTCATTGGCCTGCGACATCTAAATTTGAACCAATCAGCTTTCTACATGAATAACAGCTTTCACCTTTTGTTATTTTAAATCTGTCTGCGTTGTGCTGGGGACATCTGCCACTAGATTTATTACATTTGAATAGAAGGTATAAATTGTAGACATAATAATCAATATTTGCTGAGCATAGTGGTCTTTCGGCATCACTGACTTTTTTAAACTTTGAAATTATTTGATAATATTTAGTTATCTGTAATGGTTTGCATTACTTTTAGTTTTACAATTACTTTTCCAATTTTGGATTTTGTTACAGTACTCTTGTCACTAAGGAGTCAGTGGGAAAAAATGGCTTTTTTGTGGGCTCTAGTCTTAAAACCTTCTGAAAATCTTGAACTGCGTTACTCTTTTGATAGGTTTGTGAGATTGTGTGTAATAAACCCTTGTCTAGTTGTGCCCCCAGCCATTGCCGCTTGCTGATAGTGTTGTGGGTACCTCGTATGTAGTGACAGACAAGCAAGAGCCCCTTTCCAAAAAAAACTTTTCAGCATGTTTTTGGCGTACATAGGTGAGAATTGGCTCTTACCATACAGACTGAGGAGCCTTTCAAATTCACGGCACCTTTCTTCAATAACTAACTCACAGCATAGCAAGTAATTCAGCAGCACAATGAAGAAGCTGCTAAAACTTGCTAATTTTGTTCCAGCTTGTTCTTTTTGGTTTGGTAAAATCATGCTTTTACAGCCTATAAATTGCTTCTTGTTGAGTTAATAAAATGGCTAAAGCTTACTGTGTTAAAGGGGAACTCCAAAGTTGCTGCATGATTAATCATTGGGATGTAAACAAATCATTCGGAGTGGTTTGGTGTGAAATAGTTAAATGTAGAGAAAGTTACTAACTCTGATTTCTTTACAGTGGCAGTGATAGCAACCAGGGTGTCGCCATGTCTACAACGCAGATTAAGCCGTTTTATTTATCATCCGAAATGACCAGCGGATCTACATGTCTTGAGGTTTTAGTAATGTTAATAATGAATAAAATTGTGGTAAATCTGAAAAAATAAATGGTTTAAACCAAAATCCTATCTGAATACCTATCCTAAAACAATATATGGGACATTAGGCAGAATATTCATAACCATTCTGTGTAATAACTTTGAGAGAGAGCTTTTAGACGTCTGATTCCTATCACCACCACCGTGGACAATTCTGAATTGGTAAAGTTCTCTAGAACTGAGCATTTCACATCAAACCACTCTGAATGAATGTTTACATCTTAATGATTTAACTATTAAAATCAGTGGAATTCCCCTTTAAGTTTGCCTGCATACTGTTGTTACTGTAGCCTACTATTGTTATGAGGCTGATCAATATGAAATATTCTTTTAGTTTTTGGAATCTCAGTGTTAGTTAATTTCATGTTTTACTAGCAAAAACAGTTCTGTACGTGGAAGGCTGCAGCATGGCTTTATCTGTTTAACAAGCAGAACTTCATGCAAAAGTGCTGCTGTGGAAAGTTCTGAAGCCAGACAACATATCAGGACTGATACAGGACATGGACTGCATGTTAAAAGAAAAGAAACAGATTACTTGACAACTATGCTTTCCTTCAGTTCATCTTAGTGCCCTGCACAGTGCGTGTAATGGCTGTTGCGATTTCCAGTGCTGTTGTCAATCGTATATCTGTCCTTTTAAGTCTATTAAGTCTAGTTTCTGATTTGAAAACAGCAGTACCTGAAATTCAAAGGGATTTTTTTGTGTTGCCCCAATTAACCCAGAACAGAATACTAAAGTATGTCACTGTGGTTAGCCATCTAAGGCCTACATACCATTTGTGGGAAATACAAATACCAGTGAAGTCTGTGACATGGACTGCAATATGAAGGGATGTAGTGTAACAGTAAATTAACAGAAGATCAACAGTAAATGAGTTAAAAGCAGTCTGTCCGCAACAATTAATGTAGTACTTTTTTTATGTCTCTTTGAATTCTTACTGGTCTCTCTCCCCAGAACACTGCGGCTGGTTATTTTTAAACCTTAAAACATCATGGTTGATTTAGTCGTTTTCAATTTATGCAAAGTATTGTCTTCAATAGCTTGCAAATTGTGCTGCCTTTGCAGCATATTAGATTTCATATACAGCAACAGACAGCTGTTTGCTTTGAATATTTACACCAAAAGGATGTACGTGGCATCGTGTTCAAATGAGGTCACTGTGTAGACGGGATAAAGGAAGAAAAGTTTGAAGGCTTGTTATCAAGTATGTGGTACTATTTCATTTTATTTATTTTTTTTAAAGCATGAATTGGACCTTTTGAGTCTTGGGTAGAGTCTGACCTGGAAATGCAAATAAGGTATCGATGGTATATTAATTTTCCCTTATTTTCTCTTCCACAGTCAGACTTGAAATGTGTGCAAGATGCTAAAGGGGGCACGTTCTACAGAGACCACTGTCCAGTGTTGGGTAAGTACAAGAACTGTATTTATTCTTATTAATGTTTTTATTTTAAATGAGGGTATTTTGGTGTCAGACATGATTTGAACCAGTCAGCCATGTTTTCCCCCTAATTTTTAATTTTCTTTTTATTATAAAAATCTTTCTTTTTATCAGAAGAATCTCTTCTTCTATTCTGTTCTTTTCTCATGAATGTATACATATCATCACCATCATCCTTATTATTGTTATTATACATTTCTTTAAAACTTCTAGAACATACAGTAAGATAAATACAGTTTCAACTTGGGCAAAAGTTCTCAACCCAAAAATGAACCGAATGCCTTATATGTTAAAACCATAACTTCTGGTTTTGTCCGCTGTTTTCATGTATTAATATAGTCTGATTTGCCTCCACTAGATGTCAGCACTCTATTGAAAGAATAATATTCAGCCATACACTGTGGTGGCACATTCTCCCTTTAAAAGCCTTCCTGGCCTCAGGCCATAATTGACTCTGTCCTCTCCTAGCTGCAGTTGCAAGGCTGAGTAAAACAGAATGAACTCGCATAACAAGCACTCAGTAGTATTTCTGCTTTTGAACAAGCGTCCACAAATTAAGGAAGAACTGATAACTCTAAATATGGACCCATGTATCACCGCTAAATTAAGACAGTAGCTAGTTTTGGTTCCCATTACCACATACTCTTATTTCCTGTGCTGCCTATGTGAGCAGTTCTGCTAGTTGATGTTGGTTGAATGTTAATTCTGCGGAATTTATCGCTTGAGAATTGTTTTTGTGTTGTTGGCCTTTGCTATGCTGATACTGCAGAAGGCTGCAGCATGCAAATAAACCTTCGAACGAATCACAGTGATTTGTACCTGTGTGCTGTGGGCATCCTGACCAATCACAGTCCCAGATGAGTGTTTCTGTGGCAAGGCATTAATGTAATCCAACAAAAGAAAATTATTTTGGTCAAAATAATTCAGGCAAAACACATTGAGTCAGCAATGTTTTAAATATATTGCAAGGTAAATCACAATCTCATAACAGTACTAATATTTTGTCAGCAACATGCAGCTCTGTTATGTTTGTGTTGTTGACCAAGTTCGTTATGCCTCCCCAGGTGAGCAGAATGGGAACCGGAACCCGGGTGGCCTGCAGATCGGAGACCTGGTCAACATCGACCTGGACCTGGAGATTGTTCAGTCTCTGCAGCACGGCCATGGAGGCTGGACTGACGGAATGTTCGAGACACTCACCACCACCGGCACCGTGTGTGGCATTGATGAGGACCATGACATTGTTGTCCAGTATCCCAGCGGCAACAGGTCAGGGCTCGTAAAGGCCATACGATCAGCTTGGCAAACATTTATGCATAGCACAGTGATCTGTTTGTTGGTTACCCAGGAGGATAAGCGGATTAGATAGAGTGTGTGTGTGTGTGTGTGTGTTTGTGTGTGTGTGTTTTTATAGTATTGGTAGTTTTACAGGATTTTTTTCAGGTAAGGCCCATTCACACCAAGTACAATTTTTTTTTTCCAGATTGAAAAAGCAAATGGTGTGTGTGTGTTTGATGGTTTGTTTGTTTGTTTGTTTGTTTGTTTGTTTATAACTCTTTAAAAAGAAGAAATTGGGCTCCCGAGTGGTGCAACCGTTTAAGCGTTGGCCCTATCATCAGGAGATCGCGAGTTCGATCCCTGGTGATGCTACAGCCATCCGTAGCCGGGAGTCCGAGAGAGCACAATTGGCCTCGCTCTCTCTGGGTGGGTAGGATGGCCCCTCCTTCTCCCCCCATCACTCAGCGCGATGCTAGTCAGCGCAGGCGTCTGTTAGCTGACGTAACAGATGTGGCGGTTGGCGCTTTCCTCCGAGCGCGTTCGGCTGTCCAGTGACGTTGCGTGAGCGGCAGTTCGAAAAGAAGCGGTGGTTGGCTTCACGGGTCTCGGAGGAAGCCTGTGTTAGCCTTCACCCTCCTAGCGTTGATAGCATCGTGTGATTGGGGGAGTCCTAACTAGCGGGTGGAATTGGAGACGACTAAATTGGGGAGCAAATCGGGTAAAAAATTTAAAAAAAAAGAAGAAAAGAAATTGCCTTGAGTAGTAACAACAAAGAATTCAGAATTTTTCTTCTAGCTGCAATATAGAGGCGCACACACTGAGTGCATCCCATTCTACAGAAAAAGACGACATGGAGGGTTCAGGACCTGAAGCTGTATCATGAGCGATTCCGAACATATTTTCGTGTGTCAGTGGGGAAGTTTGAGGCACTGCTTGTGTTTGTAGCTGCACTTTTACCCCAGCTTGCAAAAAATATTATTCAAATATAAAAAAGTTCACATAGACTGATCTCTTTAAGACTATTCATTTATACTTAAAATTAAATTATTATTATTATTATTATTATTATTTTGTTAACTATAATATTAATAATATATACGTGCTTAAACATATAATTATTGTTATACGTTTAATGTCTGCCCTGCAATGGACTGGCGTCCTGTCCAGGGTATTTTCTGCCTTCAGTGCAGTGACCGCTGGGATAGGCTTCAGCATCCCCCGTGACCCAGGAGGATAAGTGCCTTAGAAGATGAATGAATGAATTATGTTTACTCATATTCCTTAGTGCAAAAACAGATGTAATCAGCCAACTTCCTATAGCATTCTTCAAACCCTGTTAATCAGAAGCAGATCTATTTGGGCTTTTTGTAGACGTTCCAGTCTAAACAGTATTCGGTGCTGGCTTAAGCAACTATTAACACTATTTTTGTACATTTGTGTAGAAATGTATGTATAATATATAAATGTAAAGGGAGATTCACTCGAAATAGGCCCCGAATATTCTGTTGTAACTCCTGTTAGGATGAAGCAATCTGACCCAAAAAATCCTCTACATACCTTGACGTATGTGTAATCGATTGCATTACATGCGATGCTGGAAGTGATCTCTGTTTTCTGTCGGGCACATGAAGGAGTACGGGTTTATGTACCTGGAAGTTGCAAACGGAGGTTAAACGTCGCAACGGCTGTCGAGCGTCTACCTCATCGCTCCGACACGGGCATCCTGGCTTCTTCGAAGCTCCATATACTGAGGAGCACGTTGCACATTGTTTCACTCAGATTGCTTCGTCCTAGAGAGAGTTATTACAGAATATTCGGGCCTCTTTCGAGTGAATCTCCCTGTATAAGCCCTCAGTTGCCTTTGAATTCTTCTGATATAAATGAACAGATTATGAATTAAATCCTAAGCAATGACAGTTGTATTTCTTGAAAATAAATGTATATAAAGCTATAAAATAGCTTTATAGAAAATATAAAGCTTCAAATATATTCACTATAATTTTAAAAATAATCTGTGTAATGGCCGTGCATGCGTCTGATGACACCACGGATGAATGACAAGTCTGGTGGAGTCTACCACCAGAAAAATCTTTGGTCTGATAACAGTCTTTCATGTTGAGACACTCCTAATACCTACTTTACATCTGATTTTTGTTTCTTTGGATTGTTAAGGTGGACATTCAACCCGGCTGTACTGACAAAAGCCAACGTGGCGCGCAGTGGGGAGGTGGCGGCTGGTGCTGAGGGAGGGAGTTCTCAGTTCATGGTTGGAGACCTGGTCCAGATCTGCTACGACATTGACCGCATCAAACTGCTGCAGAGGGGCCATGGGGAATGGGCTGAAGCCATGCTTCCGGTGAGCTGCTCTAACCGCCACGCTCTTTATTCAATTATTTAGTATCTTTTGTCATCCATCGAGCTTCAACTTTAACCTTAATCGGAACATAAGTGTAGAGTAGGAGAAACCCTACTGCCGTAATGGCATTCGGAAACATTGTGCTATCACACCTAATCTCATCACCCCATTTTCAAGCACTTCATGAATTGCATCCAGCACTCAGAACACAATACAGTCGAGTGGCCCTAGTTACTGTTATTGATCTCAGTGACACTAGACTACCAAATTTGTTTTCTCTTATGCTAAATCTTTGTTTTTGTGTCTGTCTTGTTTTCTTTTATTTAATATAAGTTTTAAAGGTACACCTTGGTCCGAATAAAAAAATTTGACCATTGCTACATCTTTTGTAAAATGCTTTTGTGCCACACTAGTCCCCAAAGTAAAATTTTCTGGTTTAAAGACTAAGAAAACCCCCTTCTCATGATGTATATTGAACTTAGTAGGAACTGTTGACAAACTACAACTGCTTGAAATGACTTGAAAGGAAGGCAGGCGGTTAATGGATTACTTAAACAACAGAAATAATTTGTTAGATGAGGAGGACAACCAGCTAAAAGCTACAGTTAGCAAGGTAACAGACTTTCTAGATAATGTAGCCCGTTTTGGCTTCTTTTCTCTGGCTGAAAGGATAATGTTTTGCGTCCATTTTGTGCTGAATAAACTTAGAATCATTGTTTTCGAGATGAGAGTTACACTAAACCTATAGCTCAGTGCCTAGGGTAGCAGTCAGGATTGATTGACATGGCAGGGATTCTCAATGGTTCTATGATGTGTTTGCATAATGCATGCTGGGTATTTTAGTGTGAGAACATTGCTGAATGAATACATGAAGACTATATAAAATAAAAAAAGTAAAAGTGTAAATTCGGTCAAAGGCTGAGGGATCAAATGCTGTGCAACAGAGTATTCTACTGCGCAACAAATAACAAACAAAACTCTAGTTTTAGGCCAGAATGCCCCTTTAATTTAGCAGATGAGCCAATCTATAACAGAGGAATGTCAACTACGTCAAGATACTAAACACAAAGCTTGGATTTATAGCCCACATTTCTGCTAGTTTGCTCTGATTTTGAAGCTCATCAACTTTTCAAACTCCACGCGTACCACTGCTGGTGTGGTTTATTTATTGGATGGTTCGCACCATCATCTTCTTCCTTCACAGAATGTGTGGATTAGAGGCTAACAGCCACTGAGTGGCCTTAGATAGCATGCGCGGTTTATGTTTCTTTGAACACCATGCCTTTGTTTTCCTCGATGGACAAAGCTTAACAGAATTCCAATAGTTATAGTTATGAGCAATAGAAATGAGAAATGGTGCTGCAAGCTCAGGAGCCTTTGGGTATTCTCCTCTTAAATGAGCCTCATCTCGTTTTTAAAAGCCAAACCATGGACTTATTGATTTTTCTGTTCGATGCCCTCACTCCACCCCCCCTCACCCCTCACTCCACCCCCCCTCACCCCTCACCCCTCACTCCACCTTCATGTTGTGGAGTGGTTTGAGTACTGTTCTGTGTCGGCAGAGTTATGGGTGCTGTTGAGTGTGAACTTTGTTCGTTCTTCAGGTCCTTCTTTTGCTCTTTCTTTTTCTTCCTGGTTTCATGCCTGTTTGTGTTTGTTTCATTCAGTTTTATTTATATTTAACAAATTTTGGTTCTCCAAGCAGCTGCCTGGAAAGTTTCATAGTCACATGCGCTTTGGTTTTGTTTTGTCCTCACCAGACTCTGGGTAAAGTGGGCAGAGTGCAGCAGATCTATTCTGACAGTGACCTGAAAGTGGAGGTGTGTGGCACTTCCTGGACCTACAACCCAGCTGCTGTCACCAAAGTGGCCCCTGCTGGCTCTGCTGTTACCAATGCCTCTGGAGGTAACGCTCATATCCACACGCATCCGTATGCACACTTTAGCATATCTGCATCTTATGAACTGCCCCAATGTGCCCTAAGCCCTAATCTCCTCCTCAAAGTCCGTCCTTTAATGACGTCAACCATGTGCGGAAGTAGAGGGAGAGACCTCGGGACGTCAGGTTTAAAAGCATGCGTATGGAATGGACTCATACATACATGTACATTGAAATTACGCTATCAGTTGTACTCATTTTTAAATTAGCTAATTTGCTTATGTACAGTGGCTCAATATGGATTACAAGCATAATGCAGCTCCCTTACAAGGTGCTTTAATAAATTGGTCCTCATTTGTATCTCAAGTCATTTGAGATAAGCGGTCACTGCCTTATCCTCATCGATGCAGTCTTTGCAAAAGGCTGCATTAAGGGCAGTTATGAGTTCCCCATGAATGCCAAATTGAGAAAGGGGACACCCTACGGCAGGGGTCTCAAGCTTGCGTAACCTGGGGGCCACTAACCAGGTGGTCTTTTCCAAGGGGGGCTAGTTGAAACAATGCAGAGGAATAAAGTGTTGAATTTTTTTTTTGTTCACTTTCAAGTATGAATTTTAACTACATAACAAATTCTTGACCACTGTTCATTAACTATTTTTTGTCATGCTTAATTTACTGCTACAGTGAATCCATGAAGGCAGATTTAACTATCAGTCTAAATTTCAATAATACCTAATTTAGTTTATGCCACCCCAGTGTGCTTCTTCCTCCTCGTCCTCCTCTTCCTAATAATTGGTTTAATATTATTCAGTAGAAACCATGTCTGCCCATAGGTGGCGATTATCTGACAGTGGAGAAATTTACAAAGATATGTATGATGGGAGTAGTAAAGTGACATGCAGTGAAAATCTCACATTCAAGACTCATAAGGCTTAATGTTATTAATGTTGATGCTTTTATGAATAGTTTTGTAACTTGGATGAAACTATATATTATGTATATTATGTAGCTGAGTGTGAGGTTTCAGAGTTTGAGTTCAGTGTAACTCATTGAGAACATAATGCAGCATGCATCATAAGTTAATTCATTTCGTGTTGAATTCATCTTTTTGTCATCAGAGCGTCTGTCTCAGCTGCTGAAGAAGCTGTTTGAGACTCAGGAGTCTGGAGATATTAATGAGGAGCTGGTGAAGGCAGCAGCCAATGGAGACCTGGCTAAAGTGGAGGACATCTTGAAGAGACCAGATGTGGACGTAAGAATCCAGTTTGCTTACTAACCAGCTTTTTTTCCAGTCAAAATACAGCACTTTGTACTTAGGAGCAAGAATATGAATTCAAAATATATTAAAAGCAATCGATGAAGACCTCAGCAACACACCCAAAAATAATCATAAAATGTCACTTTGAACTGCCGCAGTCCTGAAAAGGAGCTTCAGATTTTCTTAGTGAAATCCCCCCGATCAGATCAAACCCTCCATCAAAGCAAGGTGGCTGCTATTATATGTATGAGATTCCCTTGTTCTCTCCCTTGGGCCCACCTGTTTATGTAACGGAGAGCTGGCACTGTGCACAGGAGAGCACTTTTGTAGCCCACACTTGAGACTAATATTCAAGGCACATGTAATTGTGGATAATATGGTAATTAAAGTTCACTGTGGGGGTAAAATATCACTTGTTTGTCCTTGAGACTGCAAGTATGTTTCATACTTTCAAAGTAGTGGTCTTGGTGACGTTTTGCTAAGCTTTCATCTGAAATTGGCCAAAAAGAAAAAAGGATGAGAATTTTAACTGCAAAAAAAGATGCAGTAGAACTACATTGAAGTGTTGACATCTAAGACGTTACAGGTCATTTTAAAGGTAATGAAAATAAGAAATGGTGCTTAAAAGTTTAAAGTTTAGAGGTTAAAGTTTACTTTATGTAAGCTGTTTTATTTCGTCAGGATTTTTTTTTTTTGCGGTTTTGGTTTTTGGCTCTGTGTGTGCTGAATTTTGGTTTCAGCCAAGCAAGCCAAGAATTTTTATTCTGTTATGATTTTGTTTTGTTAGATCCTCTATATATATGTGTATGTGTGTGTATGTGTGTGTATGTGTGTGTGTGTGTGTGTGTGTGTGTGTGTGTGTGTGTATATGTATATATACACACACACACACACACACATATATAGAGGATCTAACTAAATAAATCATAATAGAATGAAAATTCTTGGCTGAAATGATATATAAAATTCAGTCGTTACAGAGTACGTAGTGGGAAAAATTTACTACACAGCAGAATGGCAGGTGTGTTTGAATAGAAATATCTACAAACATGCATTTGTACACACTCACCATTGCTTTAGATGGTCTTTTGACCTCAGTAGTTCAGAAATACCCTTTAGCTGCTCTGTAGCCAAGCCAGCCTTGCACCTCCACTGAGACAGAGGCCCTCGATGAATCTCTCGTGCCTGCAGAAGGCTCATTAGAGTAAAAGGTTTTTGCCTTTTTTGCTGGGTTAGCTGGCTCCTCTGTGCTGGTGCCAGAGCAGCAAGGCCTGGTCCAGAGCCCCGTCTGGTCCCCATAGGAGTAATTGCCTAAAGTGTGTACAGAAAGTGAGGGAAAGGGGAGAGAAAAAAGGAGGGGGCAACCGGCCAAGTGATCCGCCCGACAGGACAAGACGTGTCCCGTGAACGCTCCAGGAGCTCCAGCATCAATATTCATGCCATCACACGCTGCTTTAACTTACCGCAGTGCTGCAGATCACCCAGAGGAGCATTGCAAAGCAAGCATGCACACACAGTTTGTATTCAGATGCGAAAGTGCCCATGCGTACGCTGGTATTACTATCTTAGATACTGCCAATAACTCATAATACTGTAGCTGAGCAGTGCTATGCCTAAACTTAACCTTGACCTTAGTAGCTAGAATTTTTTTTGTTTGTTTTTCAAGAAAGATAAAGAAAGAGGAGCAATGGTCAAAGATATCAAATGTAGTCATGTGAAAAAAAGTTGAGAAAAAAAATCCCTATCATAGTGCTGCGTGATATATTAATGCTGGCTTACTGGTAGCAGTTAATTGCAGACAGCCGCTTAAGAAATTATTGCGTTTGGGACAGATTTAACATATTTCAAACCATATGATACATTTATTGTACTCTAGAAAATCAAAATGTTTTGGTGATACTGGGTTACTGCACTAAAGTATCTGCATTTTATGAATTTTACCACATTTTTTAACCCTGCATAAATAATTGTTATATTTTTTCTGTAATGCTAATCCAGTTAGATTTGGTTTCAATATCTACATTTTTATAAATGTTTACTCATCAGCATTGGACTCACAATTTCCATATCAGTACATCTCTAATTAGTCATACAACAGTACTGATTTTAGTATTAGTAGTATTGGTAAATGACAAGCATTAGGCCCATACCCACAATAATATTCTGTATTGTTCTATACATATAAAATGGTATATCTATTGTCTTGGCAGTGAAATATACTGTGTAATGTTTTCTTTAATTTTAAAGGGCTTATCAGGGAAAACCAAATTTACCTTACTTTTTTAAATAAAAAAGTTTTTTGTATTGTATATACTTTGATAAAGTTTCAAACATACTTTTCACTCCCGTCCATACAGTTTGTAAATGGAAAATAACCTGCAAAAACAGCATGTTTTTAAATGAAATGTTTTTGTGACGTCATACATCCTACGGCAGTTTGCTTCATCCATTCACACTAAAGTTATAAGGAGAGTTTCAGCCCAGGCTACTTTTTGAATGAGGTACAATACAGTGTCAGTCAGCTCTGTTGTATTTACATATATCAGCCTTAAAGGCACAGTAACAAAAAACTGGCTGTTTAATTCTAAGGAATGAAGAGAGGCTGGAAAATGGTCATGTAAAAATTAATCATGACTGTTTTTGGTATATAAACCTACACAGACATCATAATTGGACCTCAAAAAAACAGTTGAACACAAGAAAAAAGTAAGGTAAAAGCCGTTTAAGAGAAAAAAAAGAGTAAAAACAGAACAGAGTGGAAAAAAACCTGTCACGTAAGACCTTATTTCACAGAGACGTTAAGTACTGAGTAGCTTTAACTTTGTTAATGCTAACTTAAAAACCCTCTGAAAACATGATACTGTGAAAATATTTGGAAAATATTGATGCTGAGTTTTATCTGTATCACCCAGCACTATCCTCTCATGAGGAAATTTCAGTCCTCAGATAGTGATAAATACGAAGAGCTATGCTCCCATGCACACTGACCCATATACACTGTTGTACATATGAACAAGTCATAATCACATGCGCTGTCCTGCCTTTCATTTCCAGGTGAACGGTCAGTGTGCTGGACACACAGCCATGCAGGCGGCCAGCCAGAACGGCCACGTGGACGTGCTGAAATTACTGCTGAAACACAACGTGGACCTGGAGGCTGAGGTAATCTGGTGCACCCGGCACGATTCATCTTATTGTCCTCAACCTAGTCCTTTGTCCCCCAGCAGCCTTAATGGAGCTTAATGTTGCTTCTGTCTTTTAACCTGAATTGCATTTAGGACCTGAAAAGCGGTGATGTGGAGCTAATTGAAACCAGCTAGATGCAGTTACTCATATTTAAACCACCAGACAAGTGTCCTTATTTTTAAATAGACCTCTAAAGGATCACTCCTGTCCATAGAGCCTGATTGTTTAGAGTAAACATCTGGACAAAACCGAGAGGATGTAACAACTTTGATGCAGTATAAAAAAAAAAAAATACTATGAATGTTAAACAGTATTTCTGATTTGCCCCTCAAACGGTCTTTTGTGGAAACTACTGTCAGTGATCAAAACTAGACATCTGGGTGTACCCTGTCAGACTAAAGTGGGCTAAAGACACACCCACCAATTGACTGAGCTTTTTTTTTGTCAAATTGATTAGAAATTCTACAGATGCAATTTGTGGGGGTTATTTTGTTAAATCCAACAAAATTGGCTCTGTAGAGTCAAGACAAATTTGACAATTTCGAAAATGAAGTTGAATCTTGACTTCGGAATCGCAAATTATATTGACCCTTAAAGCCCCAGGGGACCTAAACCCTAAAACCTAAATCTTTCTAAGTAGGTTAATCTTGGTCTTGTGGGCACACAAAACGTCCACTAAATGACCAAAATTCTCATAATTCGATGTAAACTTGGCAGTCTTTCTGTCTTATTTTATTCGTCATTTCATTATTTTTTCATTCAAGTTTTTTTTGGATATTTAATATAGCACTCACTTTCAGTGTCTCAAGTATTTTTTTATATTTTACACAGTGTTCCCTGAACGTTTACAAAGACGTGTTGTAACATCACAAGTGTGCAGTACCGATCTCAAATCGCACGTCATTTGAGTGTCAGTCAAGATGAAACGGAAATCATAATGCATTTTTCTCCTGTTCCATTACATATTTGTGAATGAAACATGGTGTCAGGGAGGATCTCTGAGCTGACTGAGTGTTTAGGGAGGGAAAAATTGTCGTTGTTTAACATTACCCACAGGTACACAGGGACAAAATCAAAACTGGAGCTCAAAAATCATTACGCTTTGTTAAGATTATGGTAAAACTAAAAAAAAATCTCTGTGATGGAGTGATGCTCATGACTAGGCACATGAATTAATGTAGTAAAAAAGGTCCATTTTAATTTCAGGTGGGGGCTTTTAGATGAAAAGCACCTCATGAGCCTGACTTGTAACTCACTCCCTCAACCCCATTTGGCAGGCTAGCACAAGGGGGTGCTGTTAGCACTCAGTAGCTTTTGGTGTTTTATAAGAGTGGTGCTTTGCATCAGTGACTCTGTGTGTCCATGTTTCAGATTAATCTCTGACAGAATTGGTAGCAGTGGGACCGCATTCCCTACAAATAGGGTCATAAGAAAACACATGACGCTAGTCTGAACCATAACCTAGACTGTCCCTAACTTCTCATACAAATATTATTGTGTAAATTCCTGCAAGTAGTCAAATACTGTGAGGTATTACTGTGTAGTCCTCCTAGGCAAGTTTTAAACATATTACCTCAGTGATTACTTGAGGCTGATCGGACCCTGTTGTTACTACAAGGCCTGATGTTTTCCCTCCCATTTCCTTCATAAGTTCTGTAAAATGGACTTTGTTACTTAACTTGCTTTTAAAATGTTGCTTTCTGCCTCCTGTGCCTGGACTATTAATCACACTCTAATTTCTGAGGAGCTTATCTCTCTTCTCTAATGGGTATTTTGTGCTGCAGAAATGCTTTTGTTCGGTTTTATAGGACTTATTTTCATAGTGAATCAGGTTTGATGTTAACAGTCAAAGAAATCAGCTTGGGTAATTCTCACGAAACTGCCTCAAAATGTTGATAAATATTTCTGTCATAAGCATCATGCAGATAAACAATATTCTTATAATTTAGATGGTCAGTTGGAGCTCAATATGATACGATGATTTTTTTATTTTTATTTATTTTAATCTTTTGCAAAATAATAATTTTCATCATTCAGTCATTTAATCATTAGCTTTAAAATACTTAGTCTAAGAACAGTATACAGATTTGAAAAGCGGAGAGAAAAATAAAACAATATTATCTTTAAACCAGTGTTGTGTTGTGGTAATAAGAACTTGGTCACTTAAATGTTGTTAAAAATCAGTTCAATATCCTTTAAAAGATTCAGGTTTAATTACTGAAGCAGGCATCACTGTTTGTATTATAAAAAAAAAATGAAAACATTATGGCTACGTTCACATTACAAGCCTCATCACTCAAATCCGATTTTTTGCTCAAATCCGATCTCTCTGACATGGTGGTTCACCCTCGTTTAGGTAAGTGACTCAAATCGGTCATTAATGTGAACGAACCAGCGTCCTGAAATGACCTGCATGAGCACATCCTGCTCAGTAACGTCACGTGCGTCATCAGCAAACAAACTAACAAGCAGAACGAGCTTCGCTGAGAAGATAATTAACTCTGATCAGCTCTCAGCTTCATTATTAGAGCGAGACGATGGTGGAAAAGGTGAGATGTGCTGCTTTTCCACCAGTTAAAGGTGCTGCTGCCATGGTAACGCTGAATAATGGCGCCATGGAAAAAAGCGTATGAATTCCAATCTGAGCGTCACATTAAGGTCGCATGACCATGAATCTGATACGTATCTCATCTAGGACCACATATGAAAGTGGCTCAGGTCAGATTTGAAAAGATCATATTTGTGTGTCCACACAGCCCTGAAAACATCAGATCTGAGTCACATTAGGGCAAAAAAATCAGATTTGTGCCACTTCAACCTGGCAGTGTGACTGAGCCTTTGTTATAATCATTTTAATTTTTCAAGTTGGTTCCTAGTTTTTGTCATGTTCTTAAAAATAACCTGCTTTGTCTTAATTTCTTTAATTCATCCATCGAAAACACAGTTTTTAAATGACATAATACAGCCATCATCATACCAAGGTGCATATTGACACAAAGGAGTGCTGTTGTCTGGGCTTCTCCAGCGCCCATATTAATAGCAGAAGCGAATGTTAGCATGCAGCTAGCGCATCCTCTGTTTACTTATGAGGAGAGCAGGGAGAAAAGGACTGTACACTGACAAGGCAGACATTGTTATTCCAAACATGTGACGGGTTCTCCACTCACAATCAAGGGGGAATATTTATGTTCTGGCATCTGGCGATATTTCGGGGCCGAGAGGTGTCTGTTGCTGTGGAGCAGATCATTCCCGCTGTTAGCTTTGATTGCAGCCTTTTTGCAAATGTTTGGTGTTCCCTTTGTGTTCGGTTGTCTATAATGAATAGAGTCACTGATGGGGTTGCAGCTATCATGAGAGGGCAAGGGGGATATGAATGTCACATCAAAGAAATGTGTAAGTGTGTATGCAGTTATTCTGCAGAGAAACGCTGAAATTGTCTGCTTGGAAAAATGAGTGATATTCAGGGTACCACTTGAAAGTTTGGTTGAATATCTTTTTCTTAATCTTAAAGGCATTTTGATGTAAAGGCTTAGGCTTAAGTGCTTGATATTTGTTTCCAATATGTGCATAAATGGTAAAGTTGACTATGTATGGATTTATTGTTCCAAGAAAAAATAAAAAAATTAAATTATTCCATTTTTAATGCCACCCGAGCAAGTAGTTTTCAGCATATGTGAAACTTCAAGCCTACTGGAAAAGCATCCCAGCTGGCTCCTTATGACGCTGCTTGAGAGAATGCCTTTGAATACTTTTAAGAATCAACATTTTTTGATTTGTATAATACTTTTTTGGTCATTATTCAGTGTGTTATATGACAGTTTTAAATTCTTCATTATTATTATTAATACGAGAGGAGTAGAAATAAAGAAAAACCCTTTATGAGTAACTGATGTGACCTATCAACCCCACACGTACACTTTCAAGTGATTTGTGTTTTGAAGCCAAGGAAATTTATTTGTTATGCCAAAGACAAGACAGTCCAGCAGTTTTACCCTTTCACTCCTGTCTGACCTTGGACCTCTCTGACCTTTTGCATTCCTCTGATTAGTAGGCTCAGACCAGAATGGTTTCATCTTGGTGACATATGTCCTGTACTAACTGACTTTATCCTTTTGTGAAGGATAAAGATGGAGATCGAGCAGTCCATCATGCTGCATTTGGAGACGAGGGGTCTGTCATTGAGGTGCTGCATCGAGGCGGCGCCGACCTGAATGCCAGAAACAAGCGGCGACAGACACCACTGCACATTGCTGTCAACAAGGGCCACCTCCAGGTGGTGAAGACCCTGCTCGACTTCGGCTGCCACCCCAGTCTTCAGGTAGCGGACGTTATTTTGCTGTAGAAATAATTAAAGAAATGATACCCAATATGTGTTTGTAATTGTTTTCACAAGGGCTGCAACGAATGATTATTTCTGTGATTAACTATCGACTAAAATAGATTGCTTCCCTCTTTTTTCCTAACTTGCTTTCATTTTAAATTCGTGCATGCTGTGAAACTACAGTCTGCAGTACTTTGTTTAATGCTGCATTTTACCACACTTTATGTATGAAAATCGCTTCTTTTATGGTGCAACAAAATAATAGAAGCAATCTGAAATTGTAGTGTCAGAATGACCGCATAGATTATTCGGTATATGAACATTACAGAGCTTTATTGAGCACTTTTTACATTGAATGACAACAATAAAAATACATCTTAAGATATTTCATAAGTAACTTCACTGACTGTCTTTGCAGCCCATCTTTATATTAAAGGTTTAGAGCATTGCTTTAACAGTTAAACATTTTGTAAATGTATTTTTTTTTTTCACTTTTAAACCCTAGCATTTAACCTTTGCAATTAATTAATACAGTGATTCCCAGTCCTGGTCTTAGCCCTTCTGTCATTGTTGTTTTTCCTGCTATAATTCATCTGACTATTGAGTGCTTGTGGAGCACTTAGTTATTAGTGAGTTCAATCAGGTATAATGCATTTGATACATGAAAACACAAAATGGGCATAGCATGAACCCCCAAGGGGTGAGCTTTTAAGTACAGTTGATTGTCTAGCATCTGCAGTCATTGAGCTGTAAGAAGGGGCGTGATTTTAGATAAAGATTAATCACTAAAAGCCTGCAATGATGCAATCTCACTGCTTTATAGACATTTAGAAATCACTGATTCTTGAATGGGAAAACATTTTTGCACTTTGTAAACAGAGTTCAAATGAATCCCTAGTTAATCATAGCAGTCCCTATGCCTGCTTAGTTAACTGCTTCAATCGTTACACACCCAGTTACCTTAAGCTCTCAGTTGGTGCATTTTATTATGTATTTTTAGGTTTTTTTCTTATTTGTAGGTTTTTGAAATGATCTTATTAAGAGTAGAAGTGAGACTAGAGTTCTGAGAATCATAGACACACTTATGTTCTTTCCACTCTCTCCTGCACTGCAGTCGGCTTTGATTTCGTTTGAATATTTTAAGGCAGCCTTAAGCCTCTGCTTTGCCTTCAGTCAAAACCATCTCTTTTCCTGGGCAGAGAATTTTTCTTCCCCTTTGTTTTAAGGGGGTATTTTTGTCACTGTTCATGCTCCAGACTAGACGAACATGTAGAAGTGTTTACCTAGTGATTGGCGCTGTGGTGCTATGGCCTTTTATTCCTTTATTCAGCAGTGAGCAGTCTAAAATATTTTTTTTTACCGTGAATTTAATATGTCTTGGTTAGTTAAAAAAATTAAGTACTTTCAAACGGTTTAAACTGTGAGGTTTATTAGCATTCTGATTAGACTGTGTTGCCAAACTGATATGTGTAGAAAGTTTTCAGAATATCTTCAGCGTAAAAAATGTTCTTGCACTAGCCCTCACTTTGGAATTTCCCACTTTTCATTAAACCAGGTCAGGACAGGAGAGAAAAAATTGCATACTTGTTTGTTTAAGAGCCGTGATACTGGAGTTATAAATTAATATGGGACTAATATGGGTGCTGCCCCCTGTAGGACTCAGAAGGAGACACACCTCTGCATGATGCCATCAGCAAGAAGAGGGATGACATGCTGTCGGTTTTGCTGGAGGCTGGTGCTGACGTCACCATCACCAATAACAATGGCTTCAATGCCCTACATCACGCTGCGCTCCGGGGGAACCCCAGGTATGGCTGCTTCTGTGTTACGTTAGCTTGTTATATTTGATTTCTTTGCAGTGAACTGTTATGGCTTTGGTGTGATAAGGTAACTGCGAGTTGATTATTTATGGTTCTGATATCTGCTCACGTTGGAGCCATTGCTGGGTGAACCCACGGATGCCCCTTTTTTTATTTATTTATTTATTTATTTTTGCTGAGCCCCTCAGCTGTTGAGGATTTGATACTGTTTGAGCTGGTTTTGGGACACCGGTCCAGGATGATGGCAATCAGTTTTTTAATCAATCTCTCCTTCAGTCTCTCGACAGCAACATGGGGATCCTCTTTATTGACTTTGTGGATGAAAAAGTGCCCATGTCAGTATTTATGGCATGCTTGTACAGTGGAGACTTGCTTTGGAGTTAAGCCCTGTCCCATCGTCATCAGAAAGTCCTCAAGATATATAGCCCTTCTCCAGCTCACCATTTACTCTTATTTCTCACTCGAGTTCCCACTGCTGCAATCTTCTCCGAGCAGCCCTCCGGCCTGCACTGAGGCTGCAGTTAAAACTCGGCCCCCTTTAAGATAAACTCTGTCTCTTTAAGTGGTGGCTCATCCTGAGCCTGTGTCCTAAGTGCGTCTCTTCTGCAGTCTCTTCAGCCCCCATCCCCCCATCCCTCGTTGCGTCTTGGGTGGCTGTGCCCCAGTGGAATTTATCGAATATGCTATCCGTCTTAAAAATGTGATTAATTATAAGTTCTGCTTGACCTGTACTTGCCAAGTTTGTTTAGTCTTGTTTCTCTGCAGCTACATTTTGTGTTCTTTTTTTCCTCCTCAAAAGTTTTGTTAGATTTGATGCTGATATCATCATGTCCTCACTACTTTCTGTGGCTTGCATTTGTGGGAGCCATTACATTAGTTTGCATGCAATGCGTTTTGGTGTAGTGCATCTTTTTTTTTCAAAGAATTGCCTTTATCAGGTCTGTTTCAGTTGAACCACTCTTAAGACAAGCAATAGCTGCAATAAGGAAAACTAGCTGCTTTATACTTTATCCTAGTTGTGCCTTCCTGATGGTGGCCCAAGTGCTTCGGTGCTGGTGGGCCTGTGGATACTCTGAGAAACTTGGAACACCACTGAGGAATCCCAAACAGAGAGACAAATCACATGAGCCTGAATGGGTGCCAGAAAATTTGAGTTGCGCGTCAACACGTGTCCCTCTCATGCGCATGCATGTGGTGTATATGCGCAAAATACATGCATGAATACTTAGAGCTGAGCAACATGACAATATCAGTGTTTATGCTTTTTTTGAGCATTTTGTGGCTACTGTCAGTACTTAAACACCACTTACCAACTACATGTTTGACTACAAAGAGCATAATTAGTCCTGTTTAATTGGATTTAATGCAGCGCAGTATGTAAAATGCTGGACACAATTAATTGAATTTGTAGTTTTGATAGCATGTATGTTGTATGTCAGTGTAAAGTATACGCTAAAAAACTTGATCATGATATAACATTTTGTCTTATTGACCGTCTCTATGCATATTCTTTCTTACATTTGCAGCTCATAATCTGGAGCTCTTTAAATTCTCAGACAAAAAAAAACAAACTAGTAGAGAGTTTTGGGCTGTTTCACGGAAGGGTTGATTTTGAATGTTGACAAGGTTTGCTTTAAGGCTTCGCAGTCTCTTTTACATTGTTTAATCTGTGTAGCGCAGTCCTCCGAAGTGCTTTTGGTTATCCACGCTTTCCTCGGTGTGCGTATGTGTTTATTGCAGCCTCCTGGTTCCTCTCCGTGGCGCTCTGTTCGACTGCTGGAAGCCAGTGCTGCTACAGCACTGTAAACAATACGATTAATAGCCCATGACTTACAACGGCACTTCTAACGGGCCCTGCAGAGGCAAACGCTGCATGCTTTATAAGTCTTGCAATCCTTTTTTACTCCCCTGCAAATGGGTCAACCTGTTTGTTAATTACTGTGTGAAGTCCCGTTCTCAAATACACTACTGCATGCAGGCACATCATGATTCTGGGATTAAAAAAATAGTTTAGACAGTTGTTTTAATGACTTTCTCTTCCTGTTCGCCAGCTTGAGAGGCTCCCTCTGTCCCAGACTGTCGCAACAGGGAACGCTGTTGGACGATGCACAGATTTGCGTCCAAGTTTTAGCTGTCATGTACACGACTGGTCAGTGAGCTTTTTTTGTGGTGAACAAGTTGATCTGAGGTGCTTGAAACTAAAGCTGATTATTCGCTGGGACTCTTTAGCCACAAATAAGGGCAAGCTTGCCAATGTGCTTATTTGTTTTTCCCCGTGATGCTTGCTTATACACTGTGAGAACAAGTAGTGACTTCAGTGTAAATCCACAAAGGTTTTGGATCGCTTGCTTGATTTAATGACAAAAGTTCCTTTGAAGGTCATGTGCTATAGGGATGTTTTATATTCATGCTGCTGTGCGTAATTGGCGTTGGTCCATCAAGCCATGCAGACACAACAGGGTCAGCATAATATGGTGACAAATTTGAGTAATTGGGGACACAATTATGATGCGGTGTGGGAGAAGGAGAACAGGAGTGTGTGGCAGAGACAAGGGAAGAGAAGATCTTCCGAAAAACCTGGCACTGCATGCCTCTGTTGCAACACTGTGCGAGGAGACCCTGATCTAGCTGTCTGCGATTGGTGTGCATGTGTCTCTATGTCTATATGTGTGTACGCAGCCCCCCTGTACTATAGCATCTGGCTTTTATCTCCACTCCTCTCCCGCTGTTTGTGAGCAGGAGGATTATTGAGAGGCAGAGAGGCTACCGAGCCCGGGTGTGTCGCAGTGAGCTCATGCTGTAACTCTCTCCCTCTCTCTCCCTTTCTCTTCCTCTCTCTCTCTCTCTCTCAACTCCCCTTCCCCTCCTGTAAAAGGCAGTCTCAGTTGTTCACATGTGTGCTTTTCAACCCCATGGTCTAGCCCACCTCTGCGCCATGCTGCACCTCAACATTTTATATTCGGCACAGTGTGTCCCACCCTGCAAAAATGGATAACCCCTGCACTTCATCCAAGCTTGATAAATCAGAGACCATCTTTTGGACAACATTGAAAAAAGAAAAAATAGGTAGCAAAGGTTTTTGGCTTGATTTGAAGTTTTATTTCTGTAAAAGAAAGTGTTTCGAAGGACACTGCAAAGTCAGTGGCATTTACTTAAGAGTTTATAATGCTGCTGCTTTGTCATTTCACTGTATTCACACGTTAAGTAAACACAAAAGAGAAATGCAGTCAGAGCTTAACAGTAGGAGCCATCCAGAAAGTTCCTGTTGTCATCAAAGCATAGCTACAGCTGGTTGAAGGGGACCAAATCCATTGAAGAGGTGATTTGGTTCCATTTTACCAGCTTTAGCAAAGCATTGGGGTTCATTACAAAAGACAGATGGGGAAACCTCTCCATCTGTCATCCTGCGGACTAGAAAGGCTTGATTGCATGGTCCATCTTCCAGCTTAGTAAAACGGGACGAGAACTCCTGTGGAAATATTTAGGTTCATCGTTACCAGGTAAGGCTTGTCATGGAAACATGGAAGGAATCCCCTCCCCTGAGCACTGGTACAGGACAACTTGCGTCGCAGCTGTTTTATCGACGTTCTGCTGCATCTCAGCACCCTCACACCCTCCAGCAAGCGATCTTCCCCTTGCATGCCCTTCTTTCCTTCCTTCAAACACTTTCTCACTTTTTGCAGAGAAAGAAAAATTGCACCCAGAGAAAAAGGATAATAATAATCTGTTGTGGTACACTTGAGTCACATGTCCAGGAGTCATGTAGCAATTACAACCGCTGATGGATGGGGCCTGGTGTGGACATAGTGCCGCTTAGGCTACAGAGATGTGCTGCTCACTCTGTAGCCGTCGTCAAACTCCTAACTTTTACCAATATTGTCATCCCGGGATACATCGCAAAGCCTTGATAATTTTCCAGCTTAATTCAATTATGGAGAGTGTTGCGAAGCGGGGGCTCCTCTGAGACTGTTCCCGTGGTGAAGTTAAAATAGCAAACATGGATATTCGCTTCCTGCAAGCATCTAGTTTCGACTGTCACTATCAAAGGAAACCATCGTGCTTTGTAATATTCCACCGGCACATTGTTCTGGAAGATGTAAATAGCCTAACTGCACTTCAGCAAAAGGAAGCCTCTTTAACTGGATGTCTTCTGGTTTGTCTGTGTGTGTGTGTGGGGTCACTGCTGCTCAATATGGCACTTGTTAAGCACAGGTCAGTAAAGTGCTATTTACACCACCAATCCCCCTCCCTTCAGTAGACAGACACTTGCTCAAACATCCTGGGCAAATCTCTACCCCCAGATACGCTTGGCCATAAGTGGGCAAAAGCCAGGGACAGCAGCTGAACATTTTATAATGTCAGCATCTGCTGTGGGTGTCAGTCAGGCTGAGGTTGAGGGCGAGAGAAAGAGAGGGATCACAGCTACATGACTGACGGGAGTGACCCATACAGCAAGCGCTGCACAAAATTGGAGAGAGCGGGAGACCACAGAGGACAGACTGGAGTGTCTGTAACAATTCGGAGAAATGGGCCACTTTCTCTCTCAGGCCCAATCATGACCAAAGCCATTAACTCTAAATCTTCATACGAAAGTTGTCCTTTATTTGTTCCCTGCTGTTTTAAGTCGACAAAACTTAAGTTTTTCACCAGCTTGTCTTAACAACCTAGATTTTGTACTGCGAGACGTAACAATGGTGCCTTCGCTGTATTTATGCTCATAAATCAAGTATGACCTCAACAAAGGAAACAATGTGGGGCACCACAATGTAAAGTTTCAAGTAGAGAAGTAGGTTAGTCTCTCTTAAGTGTGAAATTGGGATCAGATGCTGCCTTCAGTTTTCTGCATATTATCGGTACCTGCTCACCTGATTAAGCTTTGCGTGTTGAACCTCATTTTACTACCTTATTCGCACTTGTGAAGTCTGTGATCCTTTATCAAGAATAAACTTCTATGACTTGTCATGTTCTGTGCAACAGATATTCTAACC